ACAAAGGAATGCCTTTGTCAAAGCTCATTTGAATAGCTTGTGATTTGATTTGGGACCGGAGGACTTGTGAGGGACTTGCAGGGACCTGTGTTAGACTGTACTACAATGTACATCCCCGAGTACTGACTCTGCCTCAACATATTGACAGTGATTGCTGGAGGATTTTGCAAGATTGAGGCATTGGTCACCCCTCCAAGGACCACGGTCAAGAAACAACCGAGGATTTTGCAGAATTGAGGCTGTATGCAATTTTTACGTGGAGGCAGTTGGAGGATTTTGCAGGCTTGAGGTTGCATCGTAGCAAAAAGCCTGGGGATTAGGGTTAATGCATTCTTCCTCCATGAGTGATTATGTGAACAACCTACCCAACAAATAAGAACTATTTTGCAGTCATCTTTGAATGACACTTGAATGGTAAATTACAAAGTCCAGAGGTAACAAGGACAGGGAAAATGTCACACTTTGGACCCTAAATTTATAGAATGACCCATAATGTGATATGGATTTTTGAAAAAGTGCATTACTTCACAAGAACTCCAGCGGGACTCTGATTTTGTTTGTGTTATGTCTGAATCTGTCGTTTTCAAAATGTGTTACTCAGTCCAAGTTGGGTTGTCTTATGCCCGGCATTTAATTGGTCCCTATGCTATGTGGTACCAGGGCATACTGGGTACACGTCGCTCAGATGAGTCGCCGCCCGCCCGCACTGGAGGAAGTGGATTAACGATCCGGGACCAGATTTTTGTTTTCAGTTCGGTCTCCAGTGCATCGAAAAATATCAGTTACCGTCGGCAGTTTCAGTTGACGTGACAGAGATGCGGAACATGCCTGATATCATGATTTTTTTATTTTTAGCCGTTACTTCTTCATTTTGCGTGACCCTTGATAATTCTGAAAAAAATGTGAGTAATTCTCTTTCCTTAAATACAGATTTTGACATAAATATTGACAGCAAACATGCTAGGTTATTTCAGGAAACCAGTAAATTATGACGAACTTGTTGGTCATCATGCACTTCCTCAGCTTAGTGTGAATTTGATTAAATACATGCAATGGGGCAGCTAATATATGTAGGTACCGATACATGTACATGTACATCATGTACATGTACATGTACATGTACATGTACATGTACATGTAATTTTGTAAACGATGTAATATTATATGATTTTTTTCAAGCTCGGAAGGGAGGGATTACCTGGTTTACAACATTTTGGATACATTTGTAGCCATCATGTCACCAGTAGTTTTGGGAAAAGTTGTTTGATGATTGTGATCTCCTTTATGTAGACAAACTTTAGAGAATGAATGTTTCTAAACTTGGCCTATTCTACAGAGCATTGTGGTTTTGGATTTTGTGCTGGTGTTTCGGGCTACAGTTCTTTTTTCAGATGTGGGTCTAGATATTACAGATTTGGTTATCATTGACGTACTTCCAGCATTTGTGACTACGGTTGAGGTGATCAGAAAGCTGATTATAGACAAAGTCGGCAAACCACATATCCAGAATTAACTGTGTGACTCAAAAATGCCCAAAATGGCCTGTTAATGTGGTTTCCTAACAATAACACAAGTCATTTGAACTCTAAACTTAATTCTCTCTTTCACTTTATAGAAGCAAGTCAAGAAAAGAGTTAATAGTAAGAAAAACTATGAGCAGATTTCAAATATTTCTACTTTGTATGCGGTAGCTAGCCTGAACGTCATCATTGTGAAGGGTTCAAAGGGCCCATGCAAAGTAATTTCTTTCAATGTTCCTTGAAAGTACACCTTTGTGTCCCATTTAACCCTATTTTTAGTTTCATTTTGCCATTTTCAAGGGCTTTTTGGTGCATTTTTTGTTTTTAAGCTAATGCAAATTTCCATATTCATGAGCAAAGCTATGTCATTCTGGGCAGAAACCTCAATGTGACAGCTATTTCAGCACAAAAAGTCACTAGAATTTTTGATATTTTGCTTTCATACATTTTCTTTGCTTTGGTGATATACATGATGTTGTGTAAGCCAATGAGGCAAACCTTTCCCACAAATGTTTTCGATGAGAAAATTGTGGGTTCACAATTTGAACAGAAAACTCCCAAACTGAAATATTTCGTTAGACTTTATGTAGTTCAAACATCATTGACATGTATGCACACATGTGGTTCACGATCAAACTGAAGCTGGACTGTTCATAAATGACATGTAGCGCCCTCGTTGGATGATGCATGTAGCGGATAACATTTCATTCTTGAACGGTCTGGACATCTGTATTGCCATTAACCTCCCTAGGTAAATCAAGCAATTAACGCATAACCTGTTTTCGAGCCAATTCGTTAATGAGAGGTCACTACCAAGTGTGAAAAATATGCCTAATTTCCTGTAAGTGTTGATGGGTGATTATCTGCAAATCACTGTTTTGGCTTTGCTAAAGATAATCACAAATGAAAGTTTTATTGAGCACTTGTAGTTTTTGTGACCAGAATACGTCCATGTAGGTTTTTTTTGTGTGAGTCAAATTTGAGACTAAACAGTATATTTTTCTTAGTACTGTTTGGTAGAGCTCTATTACTTCCTTTAAAAAACTCTTTCCAAAAATTGTCGATTTCTTTAGGAGATATTGCCCTGTCCTTCCCCTGCATAATCCTGTAGTTAGGAGAAGGACCATCCCAACCATGTAGAGAAATGTGTCATTCTATAAATTTAGGGTCAATATTGTAACATTTTCCCTGTCCCTGTTACCTTGGTACTTTGTAATTTGCGATTCAATTATCACTAGGAATTACTTCAAGCGATTTTTTTATTTGTTGGGTAGGTAGTTTGTTATTCATAATCACTCTTGGAGGATGACTGCGTTAAGGAGTGCATCAGAATTATCAAATCCTAGATGTCACAAGAACAGGAAAACAAAGTGGACCCCAAATTTATGGAATGACCCAAATATTAACAAAACAAAAAATCACAGAACGATCTTCAAGTTTCATCCACATCTTTCTTTCTTTTGCCATCTCATAATTCTCTCTGACCGACCTCCTTAAGCTGACAGTGACAAAGTGGAAAAATCAGGAGCCTCATGTAATTACGTCGTAGGAATTTATGACGAGCATTGAGCGGTGTTTATTTTTTCCCCCGTACCCCCCCCCCCCCTCATTCTGGTGGTCCTCCTTTGCGCGGTGATGCTGCGCTATATTTCAACACCCCAGACAGATGGGTAGGAAACAGGATGCGGTTGTAGACATGACGCAGATCTGGGAGATGGGGACTGCATGAATAGCATCTTGGCAGGGTCTTGTGAGACTCGTAAAGTCCTCCGTGGTTATTTTTAGGGGAGACTTGAAAGGGATGCGGAATGTGAATTTCAGAAGTTTTTTTTTTTTTGATGGGTCGATCGGGTCAAAGGCTGGGTCTTACTTTCACAGTGCCCAAGCGTGACATTAATGTTGCTCCGTTCATTGGTTGATGCTAATCTTAAACAGGAAATGAACCACATTGAAAATGAAAATGTACATAAGTATGAAAATGTACGTGATAAATAAACTCATAGTAGTACTGTGCTTTTATATAAACGAATCTATAAACAAATAAATCTATGTTGTGAAACAGAAATGTGCTTTTATAAACACATTTGAAGTAGGGTAGATCATTTGTCATTTGTGGATTTTTTTTGTTTGAAGCAACAAAAGTGCTCAAAATCTGAAGACCGGTGCTTAACAACTAACCTGATGAAGTTCCAGCTCTGCGAATGCTGTATCATTCTCGATTTCAAAAATTTCAAAAGTTGCCGAGTTATGTTTTGAATTGCACCCGAAATCAGCATCCGGGACACGTTCTCATTCTGCCGATTGCAGCTACTCGATGTCACGCACTGAACCGACGAATAACATCAACCGCGCGCGTGTGCGTTGTGTCAAAGCTTGAGCGCACCTATTCACGGATTCGCCGAATTACAAACCAACTATTAACGGAAATTTTCAGAAATGGCTTTCTTTTATTGATTTCTTCAAACTGACAGCATGCTAGGAAGAACAATTTCACAGGGAGTTTATTGCCATTACTATCTTTAAAACAAGTACATACATGTATAAGCTTTTCAACGACAATTTTGTCAGTTACTTTTTGGATAGCTGCAAATGATGGACTCTACGTTTAATAGTGACGTGTTCTCTTATGTCCTGTTTTCTCAGGCCAGTTAACACATGATAATATTTAGGCTCAGGTGACTGAACCAGAATCGAAAAGAATCGATTCCAAATTTGAATTTAAAAAAAAAAAAAAAAATGTTGGGTTTTTTTGAGAAATGGATTTCCAAGAGTTGATTCCAAGCGACACTCGATGATAGCTTAGCGAGAAATCAGTAGAGAGTAGGTTGCCAGGAAAAAAATGATTCAATTTTGCCGTTCCGCCCAGTTTAAACACAATGAAACATCAAGTACATGTAGACACATCCCAGGAGAACATTTTTGTGCCCTAAACCTGCAGTCACTCTACATGTACATGTATGCTGATAGTGACTCACATACATGTAGCCTACAAATGATAACAAACTTGACTATTGGACATTATGTACATTTCAATTAATCATAACATGGTATGTAGAACTTGAATACTCAGAAATGTTATCAATAGCACACACAGTCCTATCAGAGTTTTAGCGAGATAAAATTGTTGAACATCGTACAAGACCAGGCGAAGTTTACTGTATCCTGTGGTTCTCTCACTAGCCCCTTGAATACAGAAAAAGGAACACAGCAAATTCCATCGCAAAGGTTGCTTTTAAGGGCGGCCTCAACATTCCACCGTGTCTAATTTATTGATAGTTTGTTTTAAAGTGTTGAAAAACAAACTATTTGTCTTGCAACAATGTTTAACTCGAAAGACCACAACATTTTTTATAGCTCCGCAAAAGGTTTGTTGTTATGCATGTACATGTTTGTGTATTTTGCTTGTAAAAGTTGTGGAGTGACAAGGCTGCGATGTAATGTGACGATGTTTCTAATTTTTCCTCTATGGATTCATTGCAGATCTAACTGAAGATTGCTGCAAGTAGCCGGACGCTTTTTGGATAAGAAGAGTGTTCTTGACTTCTACTAGGCAGCTGGAAAAGGTTATAGGTCACGCTTTGACGTCAGTCACCTTTGGAATACTTGACAATCAACCGATTTGTGAGAACAAGCGGGACGACTTCGCGAATTTGTTTATTTACCTGTCATCGGATTGCATCGAAAATAGCTCACGGGAGCCATGCTGGTCGAACGCTACGCTTTCCAAACCAAAATAAAGTGAGAAATTTGCGGCGTAGACTCGGTGGCGCCGGAACGAAAACTTTCTCCCTCTCCCCCCCAGGCCAGGGCTGCGGGGAGCGTGACATTTTAGCCCGCGGGCTACGGAACGGCAGGCGCTAATTTGAGAATGATATGTCGGGGTAGGATGCTCCGTGGTTGACATTGGGTGACAAGCGGAGGTCAGCAAGTCACAACTGTCTTGTACCATCACACACACACACACACACAAGGATCCATCACGCAACTCCGTCAGTCACTTACAGGAGGGGAGATAACGGACAGGTATGTGACAAGATTAAAGGAACGTTGATGTGCATCTGTATTTACATCTACCGGGAGCGGTTGACAACATCAAGCCAGGAATTATTCCAACTTGACCTCAATTTTAAGATATCTTTTTCCCAGACAAGCCTGCAAGTGTAACATCAGTCGGTGCCCAGTCACGATGTGTAATCCACAAAATGGCTCCCTTGTGGTTTGAAACACATTGGAGACAGGTTCATTTTTGTGGGGACTATTACTAGAGAAACACTGTGAACAGTGTGAAAGTGGATTGTATGTCGAGGTGACAGGCAGAATTGCTGTGCCATCAGTGGTCAGCAGGAAAAACAAAATGGCCGACAGGGTTGGACACGCGGACTGCGACACCACGGAGCAGGGGGATCAGCGCAGCCCAGGTATGGAAGAGGGGTCGCTGGTACGCTCCAAGGACGAATGGGGATCCATAATCGATATCCTACACAGCATAGAGAACACAACGCAGCCGAGCAAACCGGTGCCGCCCACGCCAAGCCCGGCTGCACGGCTCGCGCCCTTGTCGGAAAATATCCAGGCAGTGGAAATGGCGCCCTCTGCGGACGGACGACAGGGTCAAGGGTTACAGCAGCTGGACCATCTGGTCCGCATGATGGAGCAGATGTGCCATCTGCAGAAGCAGAACTCGCGTCTTCGCGAGCAGACCGAGTACTTAAATGCGATCAAGGACCTACAGGAACTCAGGAATGAAAGCCTCGTGCAAAACTGTAAGTGTGAGGCCCAGCGACACTCGTCCGACCTCCGAGGTCCCGACGAAACATTCTCGGAACCGGAGAGCACTGTCGGAGATGAGATGGACACAAAACGAGACTCGTCGCCGACGCGTGAAACCAGACGAGCCAGCCGGTCCATCAAGCGTGAACCGAAAATAAAAGGCGGGAAAAAGCGCAGCCGGTCGCTGGACCCATACAGGAAAGACACTACGGAGCCGGGGGAAAAAGACACGGACAGGGAACGTGAGCGTGGGCGTCCAGGGATATTTTCCAAATTTGAACGCATGAAGGAGAAACTGACAACGAGAAGGGGAAGCGTCAAAAAGCACAACACGAACAAAAGGATGGAGGATAAACAAGAGGAAGATGTAAAAGCAAACCTGTTTAGGCATGACCCATCATCCAACGAGCATTTCAATCTTCAGATGGATGGGACAGAGACCAAATCGGAGGACAGCGGTATCTTCCACGTGGGTCTTGACGAAATTGTAAGCTTGCCCCGCTTAGCGGCGGAACTGCTACCAAAGTCACCAGACGAGCTCTCGGACAACGAAGACGTGTTTACCCCTCTGCAGCCTTCTTGGAATCAAGCGAACAATTTCAGCATGGAGACGCGCAAAGGCAGCGACTTCTCGACGGGGAGCTCCAGCGAGGATTATTTGGATTTGAAACCAAAGAGGACTGCCCCTCAGTTGCCTCAGGATGATGAGCCGGTCGTGATGAGGAGCCCCGAGCAACAGAGGAGGCGTGGCGACTCAGAGGAAAGAGCCGAAAAGAGCAGCGACGAGAAGGAGAACAACGTACGCCGGAAGATGCGTGTCAGACGCTCAGCCAGCTTACAGGACAACACCTCATTGAACAGTGACGACGACGAGTTTGAGAAGCCTGCCAAGACAACCTGGGAGGTCAAAGAAGCGCCGGCTGTCTTGCAGAGCGATAACTCCGGACGACAGTCGCTCCAGAACAGTCCATCCTACGACTTTGAGTTTTCCGACGCAAGCTTGGACATGCACACGGGCCAGGACTCGGCAAGCACCTCCAGCTTGGAGTCCAAAGCCGCCCAAAAGAGGAAATACTTCCGCAAGAGTCATCGCGTGGAAGAACCGACCTCCCCGACAACCGACCAAAGATTCAAAGTTGTGGCATTCGAGATGAGATCTCCCAAATCGTCACCACCAGAGAAGAAGAGACATAAAGGTAAATATTCTTCAATTAATTATTATTTTAAGAAAAGAAAGAGAAAAGCTTTTGTAATCAAGCTTGTTTCTTCATTTTCAAAAGAAATGTTTTCTTATTTTGGCGCAAACCTTAGAAGTACATTAGTTGAGAACTTCCCTTAACCAGTTCACGTCGGATGACGTGTATACATGCTACATGTAGGTTTTGTGGTATTCGGAATGGATGACGGATAAACACGCAACGAGCGAGGCTGGAAATATCTGTCATCAACCCGCTCGCAGTGAGCGAGGCTGGAAAATATCAGATGACGGCCTGAACCCGTCTGGCATCGCGGTTCATGAAAAACAATCCCGCACCTGTGTCCGGTCAATGCCAAAATAATCCCGGCGCAAACTGGTTACAGTTTGTTTAATGTTGATTATCAGTTGGCATCTTTTACCCAAGAAAATCTGATCAATCACATAATAAGCCTACAAATAGGTTTTTGTGCGATGCTTATTAGAAACAAACAAGTAAAAGAAAACAAACACTTTTTTCATCATCAATCATTTTTTTCCAATGCCCCCTTTCTCAAAAAGGCCTCTTTAAGAAACTCCGACTTATCATTTTGACGCAGTGGATGCTGTTTAATTTTTGGGAATGTTCCGTCGTCAAATATGAAATGTCAACGGTTTGGATGTTGTGATGGGGCCGCGGGGCCGCGACCAGAATTCCGTCGCACATCAGGTGGCGCATGCCGATCGGTTGACTACTGCCGAGATTGTAAATAGACCATGTACTCTCCCTCCTTCTCTATAGAAAGGCCCGATGAGTTTATTATGCGAGAGGTTTTGGAACTGCGGTGAAATGTCAGTCGGTGTATCTTGAAATAAAAAACCTATGCTTGCATTTGCTTTCCTACATGAACTGGTACATAAAAACATGTACAACCAAATACATGTACATGTACAGTTTACGTTGTTAGAACATACCGGTAAAAGTGACAGACACATGTTCATTATACATATAATTATTTTGAGAAATTTAAAATTGGATAACCGGGGTAAGTTACATTTTAATAGATACATTGGGATGGTACATGTACATGCATAATTTTTTTAAATGAAGTTTTCATGAATATACGATCCAGCTAAATGAGTCGTTTGTCTGGAACTTTTATTTGGAGATTCAGGCCAAAATAGGGCCACTTCATCACATCACTTCATCACATCTCTTGGTGTTCCAACTTCCATAATTTTTGAACTGAAGATGATATCAGTATGCGGTTTTCACATCAGTAATGCTGAGATGGTGCTCTTTTAAAAAATATAAAACCCCCAAAAAAAGACCCGGGTCGACAAACGACTCATTGAGCTTGATCACATCACATTTGCTTTTTGGGGGGGGGGGGGGGGGGTGGAGGGGCTGGTATGGAAAATTTCATAAACAAGTTAAAGATCCTGAATAAGTTAGAGTGCTACATTTACAGGTTCCAGTATGCACATTTATGTATACATGTACACGTCCCTGTACTTGCACTGATACGTACATGTACATATGTATGTAGTATTGACCCACACAATTAATGAAGAGACGAATTTCTTATTAAATTTGTCTTTTTCATGAAAACTGTGAAGATATTCCCCAGCGCCAGCAGCACGGGACGCCCTGTGTCCGTCTAATAACTTATCGTCACTCATCACATAACACGCTTAATATCCCACTAATCAAAAACAACAGTCCAGCGTTTGCCGATTCCAACCCTCGCACTGCCCAGCTCATTAAGAGCAAATTTGCCGGTTCCCGAAAATAGTCCGGCCCACATTGGCAGCACGGTAGGCATCGTGGTTGGGGCGCCCGATCGCCCTGCTTTCAACTTCGACATTTTCTTCTGCGAGTGGGGCCATCTGCCCGTTGACACGCTCCCCCTCCGATGTTCTCGTGAAATGCGGAATTCTTTGAACGTGTATGCTGTGCGGGTGTCTTTATGCACCGGTGAAGCCGTGGATTGCTCGTGGAAGCTCACGCCATTTCTCGAGAAAGAGAAACGAAAGATCGAGTAGTAATTGCTATCCGAGTCACGCATGAAGCATTACACATGTGGATGCGGGGAATTTGTTTTTAATCGGGTGGCATTTGTATGTCACATTCCGACCTATTAGGTGTACATGTACTAGCGCACTGTATGCACGTATTACAGCATAATACTCAAATACAAGCAGTTCTTCTAGTTGAGTTGTAAGAACTTTGAATCAAATTTGCGACGCATTCTGGCAAAATGAGACGGAATTGACTGGGCACAGGTCATACATGTACGTGTACTGGAGAAAAATGCAAAAAACTGAATGGGGTGATATTTTTTTTACTTTCACATTCATTGATATTTGTAACCTTTGATATGTCTAGTACACATATTTTAAAGAAATAGTATAAAAATCGTGGTATTAAAGCATTTTTTAAGGAAAAACAATTGGCATCTTTCAATTGCACGACTACAAAACTGAAACTTTAAAAGGCCTTTTTCTCAGTATGTTACTTTTTTGACATGCCGATAAACGGGAACTACAGCGATAACTTGTCAACGGAATGTCTGATTGAAATGCAACAAACAGTATTGGAAGGGGTATTGTATTCTCTTTCCTAATACCAACAAACCCTCATTTCGACCTCTGCCCAGTTCTGTCTCATTTTCCCAGAACGTCTCACATTTGTTCAAGATAAATAAGCTTAGAACTTTTTTTGCATGTGACTACTCCGATATTAAATTTAATTCCACCAAGATTTATATCTACATGTACATTGTACATGTATACCACAACAAACAACATTCGTTGTCGAAGTACACATCATTTATTGGTTACATTTTCTTTTACTACTCTAAAAATATAGTTATGATTCACGAAGTGTTGTGAACAGAAGTTCAACTTTGACAGCTGAAGATTTTCGACCACACACAGCAATGCCACATCCAGACACCCTGCTATCACTGCTATCAATCTTCACAACATGGCCTTATAATCATGCCTTAATATTTCATCTCGATGAGAATTGATGAGTAGGGAGTCACGCATGTCGGACAGAAGGATATGCGTAAGCAAAGCCTCCCGAGGTGACAGAAGAATTCTGACAGCCCGTGTCCCCCCCCCCCCCCCCCCTTTAAAATATGATGATTGTGACAAATTACACGTCCCAAATAATAAAGCGGAGTAGTAATAAGTCTTCTATTTTTATGATATTTCAAACAGATGAATTGTCGGAAAGGGGAGAGGTCTGGTGAAATATGCATCCGTTTGTGTTTCAGCGTTTTGATGAATCGAGTTGAAATATTCACCGCTAAAATGTTTACTCGGCAGAATTTTTTTTCAGCATTTTTAGAAGTCTTGTGTGACATGAGGGAAGGGGACATTTAATGGCTTTAATTCGTGTACCGACCGTGACCAAAGATCAAAGATTGGACTTATGAGCCCCCCAAAACAGAGGAAAAAAAGAGAACAGTCTTTCAAGAGCAGATGGAGAGAGACAAGATGAACTGTGTGACATTTTGGGGGGTTTTGTACCCGCGTCATATTGTTGGTCGTTTTTTGAGTCACAGTGTCAATGGCTTTAATTCGTGTACCGGCCGTTATTTGTTGAAAATCAATTAAAGATTGGATTTAATGAGCAAAAAGAAAAAGAAGAAAAAGAGAACAGTCTTTCAAGAGTAGATGGAGACAAACAAGATGAACTGTTCGACTTTTTTTTTTTGTACACGTGTCATTTTGTTGGTCGTTGTTCGAGTCACAGTGTCTCGCCAGTCAGACTTATATATATCTAAGAAGTACATGTGTATGGTGAATGTGATGGTATTTGCCTGTTCAGACGTGATGAACATTGTCGGAGTTTTCCAGCATTAGTGAACTGATGCCAAACATTCCAAGACATTTATCATCAGTACAGAAAGGACAGACACAGTTCTTGACAGTTGTATGGGGTCAAATTATGGTCGGTATTATCTTCAAGGGTTTTGTTTGATGGTTACGGCAGGGGATGCTGTTGTTACAATTATAAGATTTTTTACTCTAGAAACAATCAAATCCGGCTAGGTACCGGTATAATAAAGAAATCAGCTGATGTATTGAGTGTCTTTTGACAATTTAAGACTTACAATTTGTCTACAAAATTTATTAAATTCAGTAGGGAAAGTGAAAAATATACAAAGAAATCAAGCAGACATAGGGGGCCTATTGCTTGCCTATTTTTTTTAGAATGAATATTTCAAATCCAACTTTGCGCGTAAAAGGATTCATGTTTAATAACAAATGTGTTTAAAGTGTATGTTTGGGGTTTTGTTTGTTTGTTGTTGTTGAATTGTTTAGATTTAATTAGCATCAAGATTTATTACAAAAACTGAGACAACTCTTGGTTCATTTTCCCCTTTCATCAGTCGGTTGGGAGAAAGTCAAACATGCGGTCACCAGGAAACACATCGGCGACATCAGCAAGACCAAGGGGACCGTCTCCATGGACGAGAGCCTCCTACGCAGCTCCGAGGAGCCCAGCTCCCCGACCGACGGCTCCCCACCGGAGGACACGCTGGCCGGAGGAAAGGTCAGGAGGTTAGAGGTCAAGAAGGGCGACCCCAAACGAGAGAAAGGTTAGTCTTGACCCTGTCTCCTAAAGTTTGTTTGGTTTTGCAAGACAGGAAGTTCCGGTGAAATCGGATAACCCTTATTCGGTAAAAAAAAAATTAGTATATCCGGATTTTGAAATCTCCGCTTTCTCCCACTACTAGAATCAGGCCTTATTAACACTTGGAAGATTTGACAAAAGTTTTCTCAAAATGTGTATGTTTAGTTTCATCCTATCAGCTGACATTATTTTGTTTTAATTTCTTAGGTAGGATACAAGGTGCATCAGTGAAAAAAGCAACGTGACTTAATGCAAGTTAATGAATCTGAGATTCATAGAATTATACTGCTGCCGCCTATTCATGAATCATTTTTAACCAGAAAAAATTTGAGGAAACCATGCATGCTTTCAAAGAAAAATACCCTGTCATCATGGTCATACATATGTGAGTGTTTTTTGTTTGCTAGCACTAGTGTTCAATGCAGTTATTTTAATTCCCAAAGTACACCATAAAATCAGCTGAAATTTCACCGAAATGCCTGCACGCCCGAAAAGGGTCAAAAATCAGCGCCATAAAATTGGTCCCACCTTGTTTTCAAAACTCTCGGGAGCATGTTGTTGAGCTGGTATGTCTGACCCAAAACCCCATACTCTGCAACAGGCCCCCAAAATAGTCTGGTGCCTGTGACATAATATCATGCCTGCATTGGTATCATACCATGGTACAAGGGAACTAGACATGTATGGATGCAGGGTGAAATGGCTCTATTTGCAGTGACAGCACAAACGCATCAGTAACACTGTTTTTCTCATTCCCTCTGAGAGAAACGTATAAGTCCTTACGGAGACCCTCCTCCTTTCAGCGGCCGCCTTGTGTGGGCGATTTGATGAGGCGGTGCCGATAGACAGTACCACCGCGTGTGGGTTTACATGTACATGTACATGTTACTCTGTTTCGAATTACAGATAATCCATACATGTGCACTCTCCAAAAGCCCAAGTGTTGAGATGTCATTAGGTCTCATTCAGGAGTTGTCAGATGTAGACCAGGCTGGCACATTTGCGAAAAACCTTTGAGAAATTGCTTCAGGGACAGTTTGTGGCGTTGTGTTTTTTTTGCTGTCAGTTTTTTGGTTTACATGTACATGTTACTCTGTTTCGAATAGCAGATAATCCATACATGTGCACTCTCCAAAAGCCCAACTGTTGAGATGTCATTAGGTCTCATTCGTGAGTTGGCAGATGTAAACTGGACTGCAACATTTGCAAAAAAGCTTTCAAGAATTGCTTGAGGGACTGTTTGTGGCTTTGCGGTTTTTCGCTGTCAGTTTTTTGGTTTTGCTGGATGTAGGTTCCATCAATCATCTTAGTGGATGTGCTTTACTAAGCACAACCCTTGTTTTCAGGGTCCGGGATTTGATGATGTCTCCAGTTGTTGAGAAGGCTTATCTACGTGTAGAAGCGACCCCTTTATAGAATTCTTAGAAGCATCGTCGTTCAAGATGTTGCATGCTTGATGAGTGATAGCCATCTTCCTGTTGTTAATTCTTCTGTCAGTGTGCTCAAGATGTGTGGTGAACAAAATGAAAGACCAACTTGGTTTGTTTGGCAATATTTCAAACTGTACTTTTTAAGCGTTACTTATTCTTTACGTGCAGAAAGAAACAAGCGTTGACCAATATTAAATACATGTAAATGACCATTGCCCAACATTTTGTCCACATAATGATTTATAAAAATCATTTAAATACTCTGTAAAGGAATAATGTTAAAGTTTATTCAAATGTCGGCTGTATGTTGCAGATGGCGCTTCAGTCCCCTTAAAACTCTCACATATATCCTCCAAAGTGAAGCTTGAGGTCACCTCAGTAAGGCCATAAGGCTTTTATTTTTTTTCACGGCTGAAACTCCCCCGATTTAATAATCGATGGCGTAGACTGGGCAGTTTTGGACATATGGGACCCAGTGGGTTGAATCAGTTGGTTGAACCCAAATCAGATCTGCCGTTTTGTTGTTTTTCTCCGTAGCAACTCAAGATCTTTCGTGTTCTTCCTGCTGTCTTCCTGAAAAAATTAGTCACCCCCAAATTAATGACATGTCAAGAGATTATTTTCTGATTTTTTTTATTTGGGATTTCAGAAGGAAATTATTTTAGCCCCTTGAATGCCAAAGTTACTCAAGATCTCAATGTCAATCTTTTAGTTCTTTACTGACCACATTTTTTTTTTTGCGGGTGGAAAGCAGCATCCCCGGAAAGAGGCCCCTCAACACATCTGCACCTGGTATCAAACCAATGCGTGAGTCACTGACGCCAACTGCACGTTCTGGAAGTCTTTCCTCTTGTGGAGAACTATTATGTTCTTGTTGTTTGGCTGTCCTTCATTGTCTCGCAAACAAGTTGGGATTCGCCGATTTGTCGGATGAGTTTTTTCACCCAAATTTGTTATTTCCCTCGACTTGTGGTTATCTGCGGTTTTACGGTTTAGCTGTTGATGATTTTCTTCCTGCGGGATGCTGTGCCTGTTTTGCCGGGACGGGGCAGAACTTTGGGGTACATTTTCTCGCAGTTTCCTTGTACATGTACCCAACAGCTATAATTTTGACTCAATAATTATTGTGTCATTGCCGTACTGCACAGTGTTGCTTTACACTCTCAGTGGTCGCCAGTAATGTCGGAAGCATTGCACCAGCGTATTGTTCAGAGTAACTTTGATCAATGTTGTACATGTAGTTGAGTCCATCACAAGTCCATCACAAGTAAAGCACAAGTCCTTTCACAAGTCCATTCACAAGTTACAGGGGAAGGACAGTGATTGTCACAGTTTGTTGGAAATAGCTTGTGACTTGACTTGGGACTGGAGGACTTGTGATGGACTTGTGATGGACTTGTGATGGACTTGTGATGGACTTGTGACGGACTTGTGACGGACTTGTGATGCACTTGTGATGCACTTGTGATGGACTTGTGATGCACTTGTGATGGACTTGTGATGGACTTGTGATGGACTTGTGATGGACTTGTGATGGACTTGTGATGACTTATGATGGACTTGTGATGGACTCGACTTCAACACTGACAGTAACGGAGGGGTTGTTTTGTACAACAGTTGGTACAGTGCTTTCCCCATTATTGGGGGCCACTGCGAGTATACATGCACAGCAAATTTGGACACACATTGATCTGTAGGATTGTTGTTCACTGTTTTCATTTCAGTGTTTGTATCGTCCATGATACACCAAGCTGTCATCACTGCCGATAGTCAAAACTTTCACCCACATTCTTTTTCTCTCCCTCCCCCACCCTTTACAGAGAGGGGTCCCCCACCCCAGTCGTCGTCCACCGAAGCCCAGAGCCCACTGGCCATCTACGAGAGCCTCCAGGCCAACCTGTCCGAGGACTTTGCCAAGAAAATGGAGAAATGGGACAAGAAAAAACAGAGGCACGGTGCGACAGGTACGAACTCGGCCTTTATCCAAATCTTGGCTTTGCATCCAGCTTCGCCTTCCTCTGCAGCTCCAAAATCATTTTAATACTTTACTATTGGAACCGAATGATGTTTTAGCCTCTTATCAGACAACCTGATGTTGTTTTGTTGTTTACAACAAAAATATGAAGCTACATTGAGCCAGTTTCATATTCGGAACCAAACATTATGGAGCCAAAGTCTGAAGTTGAACTGGGAATGGAGCCATGGTTTGGAAACAGGTTATGTTCTCACTGACATTTGGTTGTTGGTAACCTCAGTGGCTGCTGATACACAATCTCAACAGTTACTTTCACAAATACTGGGTCCAGTTCCACGGAGCTGGGAACCACATAAATCTGCTGAGCACAGAAAAAAAAAATTCTTAGCAAAAATGGGTTACCAGCCAAAATGTCATGCAGTGTATATGGATTGTGACTGGTTCTCAGCAGATTCATACTTAGCACATAAATTTGCTAAGCAGTTTTGTTTACCTTTGTAGCAGCTTGATGAAATTTAGCCCATCTAAGCAGAAACTTTCTGTAAGCAGAAAGGTAACGCTTTTCTGGAGCAAATCACAGGGCTCACCTTAAAGATATCAAACACTTACTCAGAAGTTTTTTAATCTTATAAAGTTTTAGTTTGAAATAAGGAGGGAAACGTTTTGTCTTAAAGCTGCAGCCCAATTGCAAGGCTACGGCTAGCAGCAATGCACGTGTCAGTGAGAAGTGGCTGCATCCGCTTCCATAGATGCATGTGTAATTGGTATCCGTAGCCAAGTAACTCAGACATAGCCATATATTTCCCACACCCACTCCTACCCCACCCCCACTCCTACAGGAACCTCACCTTTGGAGAAGGCCAAACAGTCTTCCATGGACAGTTGCTCCTCCGAGGCCGGCACGCTGCCCACCAGCGATCTGGAAGCCGAGCTCCAACGAGGCCTGACGGAGGACTTCTACAAGAAGCTCGCCGAGTGGGACAAGCTGAGGAACCAGAAGGGCGGCGGGGGAGCCATGAGCCCCAACAGCCCCAGGACAGAGCCCAAACAGAAGCAGAAGGGGGCTAAAGAAGGCAAGAAGGCGGCCAAGGGCAACAAGTAAGTCAACGTTCCTGGAAATATGGACCAAGCACAGAAAGTGGTGGTTTACCCAAACCTCTCCTCAATCGACAAAATAATACTCAGTGGTAACCTGTAGTATGCATTTCTTTCCATTCAAGTGTGCACAAGACCTGTAGTATTCTGTGGTATTTGGTACTTGACCCCCAAAGAGCTCTTAGGATGTTAGGGTCAATACCTAAAACTGCTAAGCACAGAACAAAGTTCCGGTAAAATATCTTGAGATGAGATTTTTGCTTAGCAAGTAAATATGCAGAGCATGTTTCCAAACAAAACTCCAGCTACAGTGTCTGAAATTAAAATTTTTATATTATTTGTGTTGAGTATATTAAAAAAAAAGGGTAGCAGAAGTGTGATGTCCTTGTTGATGTCTTCTCCAGGGGTACTTCCAAGGAAAAGGAAAGAGACAAGAGCAAGACTAGAGACGTCGGACAGAGGAGCAAATCGCCGGACGCCTCCGCCGGCCGCAAGATCTCCCCACCAACAGAGGCCATCTACGCCACAGAGAACATCACGGTCTTCGCCAAGCAGGGCGGCAAACTCAAACTGGAAGGGGCCTCGAAGGAGTTCTCCAAGAAATACAAGGAGTGGGAGAAAAAGGAGAAGAAGAAGAAGAACTTCCCACCTCTCAAGACGGAGGAAATCACCACGCCTGTTTTTGACCACGCCCAGGCCTTGCCTCCGAACTTCCGGGATGATGCCACCCCACCTACTCCTTCCAGTCCGACAACAAATGAGTCTACCGAGCGCGACTCTGGTGATCTTTACGTCATTGCTCACGCCACGCCGGTCATCGTTGAGCCCGTTTACGACAACGGGGATGCACGGATCGCCCGAGCTGGGGAACCGATATTTAGAACTCAGTCTGCACCTCCGGGGGCAGCGGCGCACACTCTCAACGCCGTGCCACAGGGAGAACGTCCAAGCTCGCAGCGAGTTGCCAGCAATGAGGACGAGGTCTTTGCTCCCGGGGTGAGCTCCAGCCCTCCCATCCCCCAGGAGAGAGTCAACAGGCTGGAACAGCGGAACTCGTTCCTGGCCGAGCAGCTCAAGTTGGACGACGTCAATCTCCTGGCCGTGCAGGAGGAGATTGTGAACATGGACGAACAGATTGCCGAGATCTCAGGAGAAAAACCGGGTAGGTATAACGTCAGTCAAAGCACTCACTACACTGTGTATACTCTATTATCGTACTTACAATATACCCAAGTTCTTTGGCCGCATTGTGCTTGTGCACAGTAAAGCATGAGTATATTTTCAGACTTTCCTTAGGAAAAGCTTAGCGAAGTTTTGCATAATAATCGACTTAAATTGTTTCAAATAAAGTCTCACCACCTGATTTTGGAGGATATGGAAAGGTTACCCCAAAAAAGGGCAATGAATATTCAAATAAACCACAAAGGGAAACTAACTTGGTGCATTACAATAATTTTTTACAAAGTTGAACAAAAACCTGGAGTGGAGTTTGAACCTGCGACCTTCAGATTACCGTTCCGGTGCTCTACCAACTGAGCTATCCAGCTCTTTGTTGGTGGTTCCCCATTTTGTTCTAGGGGCGCTAGTCAGGCCCCCCCCCCCTTCCCCCAAAAAAACACATTGAAAAAATTGGGAACTGCCAACATAAGGCTGGATAGCTCAGTTGGTAGAGCACCGGAACGGCAATCCGAAGGTCACAGGTTCAAATCCCGCTCCAGTAAAAATTTTGGGCTGGGAATTTTTTTTGAATTACATGTACATGTATAGTAGTTTCTTTTTTTTTTTATCAAAGTCAGAGAGAAAATGTGATTGGGATTTGTCATTGTGGCCTGAAGTTAAAGCTGATTTTTTGAAGGTAATGTTCCGAAACCAAGAATGATGGTTTAGCGCCGCGTTTGGAACAACATTCAGTCTACCGTCGCATGCCCTCACGTGAGTCTTAACCCTCAGTGGGATTCGGTCGGAAACATGACAAGTTCCGTTGACTCATTGTGAAGCTCCCCTACGTGCTGCGCATTGCGAACACGTGTGTGTACTTTCTGGCCAAATTTGGTCATGTGAAGGCACATACGCGTACACGTGAGACTGTTTGCAGCGAAGGTGGGCTTGTAAGGTCAAAGGGTTGAACTCGGGTTAGCTTGAAGCAGTGCAGGATGTTACATCATTAATCGCTGATGTTCCGGTAGGTTTAAGACTTTCCAGATGGTACGGCGAGAGTGGATTCAGGGGGTTTGGAGTAGCTTTTATCCAGGGTTTGTTTAAGGGGGGGGGGGTAGGGGGAGGGGAGAGGTGGGGAAGGTTAGGTGGCACTCTTTGTAGCCACTCTGGGTGTAAACAGGTGGGGGAGTTCCTTGGGTAGCTGGTAACATCAAGAAGATGTCAGTGCGCAATGTAACTTTGCAAATTTCTGACAAAGCAGCATAAGACCGACTACCAGTGGAGGGCTGCATCATGTTCTATAAAATTGCTTGCTTGTCGCCAGTGAAGCTTTGCCTGTTACGCATTTCTGCAATGCGTCAGAGCCACGCTTTTAGTAAATTTTCATGCTTACCGACACATGAATTCATGTTGTTTCTCAGACATAGAATCACCCATGTAATATTCCTCGTAGTAACGTACATGTATCTGTTGAATTGTTCTGTTTTGCAAACAACTAAAATACCCAAATCCAGTAGTGCTTATGATCTTTAACAAATATGCAATTTTTGCATGGAAATCATTCAGATTAATGTGTTAACAATGTGCTTGTCATGTTGTCAGTAGCTCATCTCTGACATACACATTTACCGTACATACATGTAACTAACAGCAAAAAGGAAATTGCTTTTATTCAGAGGATCGTACGGACCGTCGCGTCAGCACGTGCTCGTCCATCGGCGAGTCGGCCCTCGAAGCCGAGCTCTCGGACATCAAAATGCAGATCGCGCAGCTGGAGGAAAACCTCAGAAAGCGACCCCGGCACAAAGGTCAACACGGGGTCAAAGGGTCAGATGGGGTCAAAGGGCACGGGGAGGTCAATTCGTCGCCGGAAGCGGACAGGAAAAGCGGCGAGAGCACCGAGTCGGCAGGTTGGTGTATTGACGTGATGTCACTATGCACCTTACTTTGGTTTTGATTTCTGGCACCTTTTCCTCCAGCTGATTTGAGTTGATTTTCTTTTCTGCTAACAGTCTCCGACAAGTCTGGTTGTCCAGGGCTTCCGAGATCTTCTTTCTCTTTTCTGCATGGATTTTGAGTTCTTCTCTAACTCTTCTACATGTACCTGTGTGTTAATACTCTGTTTGCCGTTTGGGATTATTTTGTGAAAAATGTCTGGCCTTGGTTTTCACTTTCGCATTGCATTGATTTGGTTCTTGATTTGTTTATTTTTTTTTTTTTTTTGCCTGCAACACTGACGTTCAGCTTTGCTTAAGGTTAGTTTTGACAGAGTTACGTGTGGAGCAGTGTGCAGTGGTTCCAAGAATTGGTGTTTCCACACAACGGCCATCTTAGTCTGGTTTCCCCGAAAACCAGATGATGATAGCATGGATTTTGAAAAGGCACCAGACCATTTTTCAATAAGCTGGAAAAGTATACAAGTTTTGCTGCAGGATTGTCAAAGTTTGATTTGCCGTTTGGTTTTCTCACTGTTTCCAGATTTCACTGCACGAGTTTTCCGATAAATTTGTCAGGATGAAGTCTGCCCTTTAGTTATTTTTAAACCAGTATTGTGTTGATTTTTAAAAAGTTTTTTAAGTTTCCTTTGAAGTGAAATTCATATACTGTTTCTCATACTAAACCAGCCTCATAATTTAATGCATGAAGTCGTTGGCAAAGTTGGCATGAATGAATTTATGCATGTTTATGTTTGTCGACACTAGTTTTGCAAACTCTCTCAGTTTTGCATGCTTCGTTCAACATTCATACCTGCTTTGTACACAGCTATAAACTAAGTGTGTTAGGGAAACAAGCAAACCCATTTCAACTGATTTATGTGCTTTGGCTGTCGTGATTGTTCTGACACAAGTTTGTCAGCAACAAGTACGTAAATGGGTTTTCTCGGTATCCTATGAGTGAGTGTAGAGAAGTGATTTTCAGGGTATTAGAAGTGAAATGTTGGTGGTTTTTTTGGCAGGGGTGTTAAGAACTTCATCAGCACCAATTTCCCCCACTGTATTTGCCTTCATTTTTTGTACATCTTTTGGGGAGCGTGGCCTAGTGGTTTGAGTTCGTGACTCGTGATCAGAGGGTCAGGGGTTCGAATCCAGCTGCTGGCCATGTATTGTGTCCTTGGGCAAGCCACTTCGCCCCCACTAACCTCTCTCCACCCAGGAGTGTAAATGGGTACTGGCGTTAGCTGGGGAGTAACCTGCGATGGAATGGTATCCCATCCAGGAGGAATAGAATTAATCTCAACTGTGTCATGCCAGGGAAACCGGAGATACGTAAACACTGGCCTGATGGGCCATATTGGCTTGTAACAGACGCTACTTATTTTACTTTGGCACAACACTGGAGTGAGACGTTCCGTTGATAAGTACCAACATCTTTGTCCAATTTAGTCTTCATTTTCTTCGTGAAGTTCTCTGTTGAACTAAATTGGGTCTCCAACAAATGCCAAGTACAAATTACTATCCCAAAGACTTGCAATGTACAATGTACATTTGACCCAAGTTCAAAGTACTGTGAAATTTTAGCAACTCTTGCCAAACATTAATTTATCTTATTACTGCATCATCAATCATGTACCTTAATATAATCCACGTTGCTATCAATCCATTTCCCGTTTGCCAAATCACTCACGTTGAACTTGTTTTGATCAAATTTCCTCATGTCACTAAAATTCCCCTGATGCTAACTTAATTCATACCCAGAGAAGGCGTGCTTCCTCTTCTCGCCCACGCCACTCAAAAAAACCTGAAAGTTTTCAAATGTTTTGGACAATTTTAATCAAGATGTCAAGATTCGATCTCGTTTAGAGAGCGTCAGTGTCACCAATTTCGTTTCTGCTTTATGAGTGACTCAAAAGTCACATCCTTCGCTGGCATTTGTAAGCAGTCATTCCGAAGATTTTACTTGTGCTAAGTTTATGCAATAACTTACGTACACTGTATGCCTAGGTAAACGTAAGTCTTTGAGTATGGTATGCTTGTGTCTATCGGCTGTAAACTGGCACTCATTGGAGAAGACAAGCCTATGTGTTGATTTGAGTGGTGCGTTATTTTTACTAAGGCAATTAATTCTACAGTCAAAGAGTTAAAAAAAAAACTATTATGAGGCAGCAAGTAAAGACATCTATCATGAATGCCATGGTCCAGTGGTTATGGTATCTAACCCATGTACAATGGTGCGTGGGTTCGAACCCTGCCAGGAGCATGGTGTTTGTGCCCTTAGGCAAGACACTTAACTACAGTTGCCTCTCTCCACCCAGGAGTATGAATGGGTACCTGTGAGGGTAGAGGACCGATTGAGCGCTGATATCGGCTGCCGTGTGGTCTCGTGGCCTGATGAACGGGGGAATAATTGTAAAGCGCTTTGAGATTGTTAATACGATGGAAAGTGCCATACAATTTTATATTCATCTCAAGATTGGCGTGGACATCCAGGAACTTCTGAAATCTCCTTATCTCCATCCCAGACTTATTTTCGTAAGACTAAAATGGTTCTTGAGTCTGGAGTGCTGAATGGTAACACATAGCAACCAATTAAAATGCACGTGCTAATGAAATGTTTTCATCGGCTGAATTCCACGTCGCCCAATAGTTTATCAAAAATGTTTATCCGAGACTCGATGCCAAGAGCAATTTTGGACGAAAAACAAAACAAAACAAAGAAATCAACCAACAAACAAGCAAACAAACCAAGAAACGCCTTCCAAGACTTAGACCCAAGAGCTAAAGTCTGAATGTCTTTGAAAACCTCAGAAAAAAATTATACACTTAAGATGACTCACAATTGTGAAACAGGTCAAGGTGATCAAAGGACAACGTTTGCAAAAAAGGAACTGAAACTCCTTCAAAAACTTTACATTTCTTGTTCAAAAGTATCCATGAAAATTCCAACGATGAGGTACCATAGGTCAGGAATTATGTTTTTAAAAGATAAAAAAAATCTACAGAAATCAAAATTAGCCAAAATGAGGCAAGTATTTTTGGGCCAAGCTGCAGAGTGTTTGGATAACTTTTGGCCTTGGTCGTTGACATTTGAAAAGCCTATGGAGTTACTTCAAACCCCACTAGTCCGTACCCCAATCCAAAATTGGTCTTTGCACGTGGGAAGCGCAGAACGGCCAAATTGGGATGTCAAAATAGCCGCTAATTATCGTGTCAATTATCGCGGAATTTCTTGCCAAGCCCCCCGCGGCATTTAACCTGACATTTATTACAAGTATTTGGACGCTGGCTAACTACATATACGTGAATTTTTAAACTCTTAAGTTCACGTATCAGCAATAGGAGTTTCTAAGGGAAAAGAAAACATGTCCGCGTGCGTGGCAGATTTTCTCGTCTTTCGTCCCCCGCGAGTGGCGACGTGGTCGGAACCGCGACTAGGGTATTATAAAAACGGTGAATCATCGCTCACAGGAAATCAGATTCTGATCAACAGGAGTGTAGGAAAAGGAACTTAATAAATTCAGGTTTTTATACAATTCTCGCTTGAGGTGTTGAGTTTTTTTTAACCAAAATTGTTTAAACGGTTTGTTCAGTGGAAAATGTTCTTGCATCTTCTCGAAGGCAGATTTTCTAAAATGGGCCAGTTTCTATAGTTTGTCCTTTTTGTTTTTTTTGTTTTTCACGGTGTCTTCCTTTAAACTTTGTTTACCAAACTGAAAACAAGTTGAGAACAGTCTATATTGGATCTGCAAAATCGAAAAGGACATTGTGGACAACCCTTTTCATATATTTTAATTTGACCACAAATAAACACATTTTTGTTTAATTTGGGGGTGATAAGGACTATATAAAGCCTACATACAAAGGATACTATATTCTGGAATTGACCAGAAAAATGTTTTGTTTTTTTTTCAAAACTTTTTTTCAAATTTGAAAACTTCACGCGTGCAAATTTTGTTCACACAATTGTTTTTAACTTTTTTTTCCACAAGTACCTGCATTTTCACTCGTTTGTCAATGAGGAAACATTCATGTCTAGTAACGTGCGTAACAGCTGGGCTATTTTTAGACGAAAAGAAATGTTATACATTCTTGTCTGTTCATTACCGGTATGTTATCAAAAGTGACATTTCACATTCGTGCTTATTCACATCCTTAATTTTTTGGTTTTTCTTCGGGCCATTTCTGGGATGAATGATCGAAGGGTTGCCTGCCAGAATAGTTCACTTTGAGCTTTGGCAGAGGCCCATCCTATGACTAAGTGATACCTCAGGCACCAGACTAATTTTTTTTGGCGAACAATCGGCATTTTCAAATAATTTTACAAACTGTGCAATAAATATCCCTCAACAAGTATCCAACAAGATACTCTCATGCCCAACAGCCACATTACCCACACTCAAAGATAAGGGGAAAACAGTGATTGAATAAAGTAAAGAAATTTGTTGAATCACAATCATACGGTCGCCAAGTTTAAGCCACGAGGCTACATGGGGATTATTAGGTATTAACTTCCAATTTCCGAAGGCAATCAAATTTAGGAAAACTTCCCCCCAAAGAGTTGTTTTTCAATGTGAAAAAGGATCTCAACTGAGCGTATTCTTGCAATTTGTGGTTTCGGTTGTTGTTGCCAAAATTGTCTTGGAGAAATTTTTCGTCTTTTGACTCTTGGTGAGAGTTAAGACCTGCAAGCAACAAGTGGACACCCGACTGGCTGAACTGTTGCAAGCCTTGGAAGCTAAATCTTGAAAACTTTGTAGTAAAGTAAAAACTCAATTTTCTCTCAAGCCAGTGGTTTATCTGGATGGGGTTAATCTCTGGAGAATATAGGACGCCAGTCCATTGCAGGTCTTCCCAAGCTTACATGTATGCCAGTACCAGTAGCGTAACCAGGGGGTGGGGGGGGGGAGGGGTTGGGAGTGGCAGATTGCAACGGGATTGGAGATTTTAAAAGCAAAATCAGAATGCTGATAGAGCAAAACCGGGACGGTTGAAATGGGTAACGGGATGAAAAATTGATTTTGCAAAATGATTGCCCTTTTTTTCACAAATGCCATTGTTCGCAATCGCACTTTTTTTCCACTAGTGCACTTCTTTACCTATTGTCAAAAAGTTTCCTGTTTGAACAGTGCCCCCATAGGTAAAAAGGTGTCCAGCCCCCCCCCCCCCCTCCCCCTCCCCAACCCCCAACTCGAAAGCCAACCTTTTTGGAAAAAGCCCATCTATGGTACATGTATCTCTTCACTGTCCCAGCCAGTGATGATCCAATCATCACGCCACAATGAGAAGTCTCGTCCCTTCCAAATGAACTGACATCTGCGATCAGTCTGATTGGAACCATACTTACTCCCCTCCCCCGGAATTTCCGGACCCCCCCCCCAAAAAAAAATGCACATCTGACACGGACTTTGCATGGCGTAAAATTTAGTTAACAACTTGATCAAAAACAAAATAAAAGAAGAAGAAGGAAAAACAACAGATGTTTTTTTCACAAGAAACCGGACTCAAGGTGAATCATATGTGTTAGGGGGTCGGCAAAAAAACTCTGGACAGACCGGAACTTAGCCGTAGTACCACGTCTCTTGGGACGTGAAAGGGGAAGGGGTATATGGAGAGATTTTTGCCAAGTCAGCCCAAGGCATGAAAATGAAAGTAACTAAATTCCCAACTTCCAGCATCTACATGGAAGAAATCTGCACTTCTTGTACACATATCCTTCTAAGTGTAACCAGCATAGTGTTTGTTGTCGGGTGGGGGGGGGGGGGCGTGGCAGGAGACACTAGACTGAAACAATCTCTTGTTGATTATCGATAGTAAAATGGTCCCTTGTCATATATCTCAGTGCAACTCTCTTTAATAATTGATGCCCATCATGCACTGCGGAGACCAGAGGTGCCTCTTGCTGTCTTCCTGAACCCCCAATACCAACCATCAGAGCCCTTCCAACAGGGAGGAAGCCTCGTCATACCTACCTCTCACAGATCATAGACGACCTTAACGCCATCGACCTCAAACATGATCAGGCTGTTCGTGCTGCCCAGGATCGGGCTGGATGGCTGAGATGAATCGCAAGCATTAGATAACATAATTAGTCACAACGTCTCGAGTCGAGTACGACTCCAGTAGCGTCAACTATTAGTAGTATCGTGCCCCCTTTAAAAGTAATTATAACTCGTCCCCCTTTGCCCAACCCACTTCCTTGAAAGAACGTCGCATGAAGAAACCTACTTCAGTTTTATTCCACCTTTTCAAACTTGCCAGAAGTGTAGAAGGTATTGTAAAAATCCCTTGTCATGCAGGTCAGGAAGGTCAAATTCCAGGTCAAGTGTGGACTTTGCCCTTTCGACCTTTCAACCATAGCAAGTTCTTTTCATATTTCTGTCAAATTGTATATGGATCAACTTCAGCACACTAGAACATCGTAAGTAAACGTTTCGACTCTGCAAATTAAAACATAATTTTCCCCAAACTGATGTCATATCACGGCTGTCGTCATTCAGCTCATTTATATATTTTTTCAACCCTCCGTTAACCTTCCGTCCGCTAATCATTCACATCCTCAATAAACTGGGCTTCGTTCAGATGCTCAGCCTCACCTTCATGACTCAAACGAAGACACTTAATCCTTAAAATATAAACCTGTCTAACCCTGAGACTTGCAACATACTGCACAGGTACAAGCCTTTCAGGTTCATGAACTTCTGAAGAGGAAATTCGCGCTCAGAAGGTGGTTGCGGTTGGACTTCCATAACAAAATATTCCATATCCCAGCAGGCCACATAGCAAGACAGTTTTTGTTTTAAAAAATCTGCCAAATTATACAGAAGAAGGCGCTAAACGACCAGTGACGAATTAATGTTGCTATGTTAACCATTCAGATAATGGTTTTTTTTTTTTATAGCTTTGTTAAGGGTGCTTTTGCAGTTTTGGCGTCCATTGCATTTCACTTTATTCCCTCGAACGATACCAATGAATGTACTAAGTTAATGCACATTTTGCTTGAGAATATATTTACAAAACCATTTTGGTATATAAATGCAATCAACAAGACAAGGAAGGCTTAGAAGAGCTGGTCCCAGAGTGCACAGACTTCTTTTCAAGTGAGTCAGAATGGCTATTTAGTGGTAATCTTTTATGCGTCTGGTCTGGAAAATGGGCCGGATTTACATGTAGCTCATTATGGGGTAAACCTATGAGATAGCTCTGCCCGGCTCTCTTCAGCCGTTCACAACCAGTGTACTGCGAAGTCACAATTGACAGCCAGTCAGTCAGTAGAGAAAATACAAAGATAACACCAGGCTGGCGCCCATGGGCCTATGCGCGAGTCGGCCATATTGAATTGAAAGTGAGGTAAAATTTTAATTTTTGGAACTTGCGAAGAAAAATGAAAGCAAATTAATTACTAATTAATTGCAGTCTGCTTCAATGAATATTTTAAAATGTGTAGTTAAACATTTCCTAATGTTTAAAGCCAGATTAAAAAAAAATGACAGCAAAATAAGGCTGCAGTATGCCTGCATAAATAGTCTGGCGCCATCCCATTCAACAGTTAACAATTAATGAAATACATTCAGGGAACTCGACAAAAATGGCCAACTCGTGCATAAGGCCCATGAGAAAAATAAATGTGAGCTAGAATCAGGAAACGGTCAAGACTGGACAAACATGTAAAAACCCCTGCATGACTAACTTTCTTCTTTTAATTCAGACAAGATTTTTGACCCATTCTCTTTCCATGCAAAAAAACTAAAACCTCCCATAGATGTGCCACTAGGAACGACTGGCTGGGGTGATAAACCTGTCACAACAGCCATCGCTTCAAGAACAAGCAACCACCCTTGAACAAAAAAAAAATGTAACAAAAATTGACTCCACCTTTTAGTCTGGTCCCGGGGATATGAATCAGATTATTTACGGATAGGGCAAAGAGGAAGGAAACAACCCGGCATGGGAGTCTAGCAACCATGACTGGCGAACCAAAAATAGCATTCTCTTACGCCATTATCAGCCATGACTTCCCGGGAACCCCCCTCCACAATGCCCCCACCCTAACCCCAACCTCATTTCCAGACCAAGAAAAGTTTTTCTTTTTGTACTGAGGTGGCCAAAGTGTGTCGGAAATTTGTGTAGGCAAACCCCCCCCCCCAAAAAAAATTGTTCTAGTGATGGCCAAATCCCACTGGGAATTTCAAGCAAGGGGTATATCCCGTTCTTTGCACTGTGCTAAATGATGGTATTTCCTAGAGGATGTAAATGGATTTAGGAAAAAGCTGCAAGATCGATCACTTGAGCTGAAGCTTTGTGTAACTCTCCTGAAACTCAATTTGTGAACTTCTTTAACAGTGGGAAAGGCATTTTCCAATAAGTATTGATACTTTTTTTTTACCCTGTTATTAAAATACTAATAAGGGAATAAATATGTGCTTGGCCAGTTTTAAACAGGTACGTTTTAGGGAATGGGTATTCACTGTCTCAGGTACATGGGTTTATGAATTTGAGTGAAAGTGCATAACTACTGTTTTCATTTACTATACCTCAGTCTTCGGTTTTGCCTTTTCTCCCCAAAATAAGATATGTTATTGAAGTAAAGCATTTTTATCGCATGTCTGTGTTAACTACGGCAAAAAGGCCTTTTCATTGGGGAATCAATTCAAAATTGTGAGTGGGTGAAACCCTAAATTGAATTATAGGCAACGTGTAATAGTTGCTTAACCAAATTAGTTTTATCTTGCTTATCATACCATCACACGTCTCAAATGTCTGAAAATTTTGGCAGATTTTGGTTCAATTGCAAATTAAGTTATGTTCATTGCTGTGTCATTGAGTGCCTCTGAGTGCAGTTCCTACTCCCCCCCCCCCCATTCCTTATCAAAAACCCTTTGTTACTACCCGTCTGGAACCCTGGGAACCCCCTCCTACCCCTGGGGAAACCCCACCCTGGCACAGTCAGTATTTTTTGTAACCATTCACAATCAGACCCATAAAAAAAATATAAAAAACACTTGGGCAGTTTCATTTGGAGTTACTTTTTTTTTTTTAAGAGTTGATTAAAATGTGTGCATTATTGGTGCTCCTAGCATCCATTGAACAAAGATATTAGTATTACGGAACTGTCAACATAGGGCAGGATAGCTCAGTTGGTAGAGCACCGGAACGGCAATCCAGAGGTCGCAGGTTCAAACCCCGCTCCAGTCAATTTCGTTGTCCAACTTTGAAAACGGTTTATTATAATGCACCTAGTCAGTTTCCCTTTGTGGTTTGTTTGAAAAATTTTTTAAAGAGTTGATTAAGATTTGTGCATAATTGTCGCTCCCAGAAAACAAAGGCTTACAAGCTTGTAATAAGAACGAACTTGGAGAAAGCAAAGCGACCATATCTCAATTTTTTTATTTTTTTTGTTCAGAATTATTTGGGTGTTAATTTAATGCAGCTGCTAAGCACAGTATTCTGCTCAGCACAAAACAAGAATTGCCTAGCAAAACAGTTTACCAGCCAAAATATCATGTGATGTGTATCCTGTTGACTGGTACCCTGCCAATTTTCTTTGCTAAGCTTAAAAATACCTGTAAAAATCTCTTTTGAAAATACTTATTGTACAAGCTTCAACTACCAAACATGCGTTCTTTCCTGACTGGCCCAGTAACAAATTTCCTTTCTAAAATCTGTGGTGTTTTCTATTCTTATTTTTAAGTCACTCACAAAATCATGTATACCGGATATCTATAATTCTTACTCATTTTTTTTTTTATCTGAACAGACTTTACGCCGCTCCAACTACATGTACCTACAGTGGAAGCACAAAAGAAGGGAGGGGAAGAACCAACGTCGGAGGCGGAAACCAGTTTCGAGGCTGAAGTGCACAGCAACCTCACAGAGGCTCTTGAGAAGAGTCTACAAGAGAGGGAGGCCATCATTAAGTTGCTGCAGGTACTATGATCCTCTAGTCTCCATTCAAGTCGGTACAATCGTCTCTGTCATAGCTTTTAAAAAATATTGAAAGTGTATACTGGTTTGTGTACATATTGCATGTAGTACGCGTGATTAATTCTATTTTTGAATCTGCGCAAAACCATGACGTCTTCGCAGGAGCGTCAAGCCCAATGTGGTCCAGAGATCTGCTGAGTGGTCTCCCCTAACTCTCCCTTTTCAACCGTTGAGGGGGTACTTTAGTACTCACAGAGTCCTTAGTCCCCTCGCGTGAAGTCAAGTCAAGAATCTCAAAGACTGTGCCAGAAGAATGTACTTCAAATTCCACAACCACCAAGTTTCTGCAGCATTTCATTCGGTGCCATTTTGATTTGTCGTTTTGTGCAGGCTCGAGTAGATCGTCAGGCCCAGGAGATCAACTACCTCAAGAGTGGAGGGGACATGGCCAATCTCTTCAAACGAGCCAAGAGCTTCACAGCCAGGGACAAAAAGACATTCGTAAGTTTCCTGCTCAAGGCTTACATGTACGGCTTGAAAATGGTCCAGTGGTCTTTAGGCCTGTTCACACGATCGTCTCCCATAGACATGGATTGGACATGGGTTCAAGTAGAACCAGATCCAATCAATTTTCAATCTACCCTCATTTTTTGTCTCAGGACCCCCGGGCCATGAAGGTTGTAGACATCCTGATTGAGAAGCCAGAATTAAACAAGGTCAAGATGCTATCCGACGACCAATCAGAATCCTCGAAATCCCTCAAGACAGACAGCACCCCCTCATTGGAGACACTGCATATATCAGGTCAGCCATTTTTGTTTTTAAATTGGTTGGGGGGGGGCTGTTAAACAGAGCTTAGTCAGATATTTGCCTCAGTGAAACAGTCCCAATTGTCATTCATCTGCAAGTCTTGAAACCCCATTTTCTTGTATCTCTGAAAAAATATTTGTAGGAACCACTATTTTCAGGAACCACTATTTTTCGAGAGCCACTTTATTTTTTGGAAACAACTATTTTCGGAAACCACTTTTTGGAAGAACCACTATTTTCAAGAACCACCATTTTCAGGAACCACTATTTTTTTTCGGAGCCCAATTTTTTTTGTTGGAAATCCATTTTCAGGAACCACTTTTTTGGAGAACCACAATTTTTTTAGTGACCACTGTTTTCAGGAACCACTGTTTTGGGGAACCACTGTTTTTGGGAACCACTGTTTTAAGGAACCATTGTTTTTGGGAACCACTGTTTTTGGGAACCACTGTTTTGGGGAAGCAATATTTTCAGGAACCACTTTTTGCATTTCCATTAGCCCCTTCTGAATCTACGAAAGAAATCCAAACTGTATTCAAACCTATTTTTGGAACTTTGAAAATTGTAAATGTAACTTACTCTTTCCCTTCCATTTTGACTCCTAGCCGAAGATATTACAATTGACGATTCTACCTTGAAGAAACAAGACAAGGTGGAGCCCAGTGAAGACGAGGTTTGAATAATTACTCACTTTACAGCAAGAATCTCACTTGATATCCTTTGCAAACTTAGCTCTTCTTCCAAAATTTGTCTACCTTTTAGACAGTATACTCTAATAATTATGGTGCATCTGTATTTTGTGAAGCTGATAGTCATTTTGTCCCTCTGTCTACATACTTTAGATTTTTGCTCCTTATTTTCCTCCCTGGAATTTTTGAATTTCATCTATCTGAAGTCATTTACAAAACATTTTGAACAGTTTTACAAAGTACATAAAATCTTCTTTGTGAGGATATTAATCACTTGCTTAAGTTCTAAGTCTTAAACATAAAATAAAAAAACATAAAAAAAAAACGATCATGATTTGCCTTTTTTTTTATTACACAGAAATCAATGGAGATACATCCAAGCCAGTCTGTGGAGGCAAAATCATCTAAAGTATCTGAAATGGCACCTGTGGACAATGTGCCACCTGCTCAGGTGACTGACGTCAAGAAGGCTCAGGAAGAATATCCTGGTCTGTATGGACCCATAGAAACCAAGCTCAAGCGCCGGCGATCTCCAAGTTCAGAATCCCGACCAAGACCCGAGGATACTCAAGACACCCATGCCAAGGACGGCTCAACTACGGAAGCCAGTGTTACGGACAGTCACGCTGCCGTAGATTCCCTGCTTGCCAAGAAGATCGAAGGGTCCCCAACTGAAGAGTTGGTGTTGAGAGATGGCAGCATATCTCCAAGGTTGAAAACGAGAACAGGCGAGCAGAAGGACTGTGAAGATAGAGGTCCAGGGTCGCCATCTGCCACAAGCAAGAAGGTCACGCCAAAGTTTGAGCTGGTCAAACTGGCAGATGGTCTGAAAAGCCAAGCCGTGGAGCTGAGTCCCAGGACCCAAAGAAGGCGAGAACGAGAGAGCAAACAGGATGCCAAGAGGGATGGCAAGGTATCTCCTAGGTCTCCAAGAGAGGGCCGAAGATCACCGGGAGAAAGTCCGAGAGCCTCGCCACAAGCTGGAAGACAGGAAAAATCTGGTGACAGCATTATTCCAAGAGGTAAACAGGAATCTGGGGAGAGTTTCTCGCATAGCAAACATGATAAGGAAGAGAGAAGCTCTCCAAACAGACCATCTAGAACTACTGAGCATACATCACCCAAAAGCGAACAACCAAGTGCGGAGAAAATCTCTCAAATGAAAGAAATTGGCAAGAAAATCTCTCAAAGACTAAGCGGTCGAGATGAAGAAACAAAACAGGATGCCAAGAAAGATGAAGAGCCAAAGATCCAGGAACAAGTCAAAGAGGAGAAACAAGTATCTAAGGATCAGAGTTCTGCTGGACAAGCAGAATCAAGGAGGGAGACTTCTCCAGAGAAGCAGTGGGATAGGAAAGCCAAAACAGGGAGAACACTCTCTCCAGAGTCTGAACCTACTTTCAGGTCTTCCAATCGGGAAAGGGGTTCCACACCGACTGGAAGGGAGAGGGAACGACGTCCATCAGTGGAGAATTTGAGGGCAGCCATTGAGAGACGACAGCGTTCATTCTCATCTGATACAGCTGATAGTGATTTAGAGTCGCCGAGCAATGCCAAGAAAGCTTTGGAGATCAGACTTTCTGGTCGCATTGGCACGGAAAGACGAGATTCCTCGGACTCGGTCGGGAGTAACAAGCAGTTCCCCCTGGAGGGAAAGAGGGAGCCCGTGCTCATGCGTGGCAGAGAGAAAAAGGAGGACAAATCAGTGTCAAGCTTGCGACGTAGGTTTGTGACCCAGGAGTTTGGCAGTACGCCAAACGTGACTGAATTGAGCTCCTTACTTGCAGGAAGAAAAGAGAAAGAACGTCCACGAGAAGGTTGTGTGAAACAAATGAGTCAGGCGTTCGCAGTGGCTTCTCTGAGTGAGCAAGGAGCAAGTGATATCAGAAGGAGCAGCAAATCATCCAGTGTCCGTTCCTCTCCACAGAGCCTCTCTCCAGCATCCTCAACAAGCTCCCTCTCTAACATCGTAGCCAGTCAGATCAAGCGTCTGCAAGACAAGGCCAGCTCATCACCTGAGTCACCAGAGAGACGGACTTCCATCCAGAACAAAGGCACCAAGGACACAGTGCCATCTCTCTACAGCCTTCATGGCAGACTAGAGCACAGGCAATCCCTGACGAATATCGCTGATGTCCGTGCAAAGTTTGATAAGAAAACAGAGTCTTCGACAACTTCAGACAGTTCCCCAATGGCTTCCAGGACGAGTTCACCTGCCCGGAACCCAAGGAAAGATCCAGCCAAACCAACACTGGTACCATCAGTGGCAGCTGCTCGCATTAAGTACACAGTCTCTGTTAGCAATTCAGAGAACAGCAGATCCCAAGGCAATTCAGAGAACAGCAGATCCCCAAAGAAATCTGTATCTCCCCATCAAAATGGAAGCACAAGGTCTCAACGCAGGATTGCCGTCATTGAGTCGTCGCAAGCTGAGAAATCAACCAAGTCGGATTCCACCGTCACTTTCACTATCAACCAGAATCAGAAGCGGAGGCAAAACACGAGTCGGGGTGCATCCAGATTGGAAGAAAACAATAACAACAGCAATAACAACAACAGGAATTTCTCTGGGAGAGCAGAAGTGCGTCGCAAAGGGTCTTCAGCTAATCAGCCAGATGCATCAAACAGACCAAACAAGAAACAGGAGGAGACTGAAAATCAAGGTGCAACCAGAAAGAACTCCTTCTCTCGAAATGACAAAAGGAGGGGTTCACTTCCAAGACAAACGGAATCAAGAGAATCCTCGAGGCGAGGATCGTTGACAAAAGGTAAAGAGTCTCCAAAGGCACAAGCAAGGAGAGCATCCATCTCGAAGGGCAAAGAGTCTCCTAAAAATAGCTCTCGAAGGAATTCCATGACAAAGGCCAGGGACTCAAGTAATGAAAGCTCCAAAGGAAAGATAGTTTCAAAAGATAAGGAGCCTTCTAAGGATGCATCAAGTTTGCGTACTCCTGGAAGTGAGCAAGATGAGGATGAGAGGAGCAGGAGACGGAGAAGGAGGAGGGAAAGGAACACTACTCCTGAGCCTCCAAGACCAGAATCCAAAACTGATATAGATAAACCTGAAGTAAAAGCTTCAGACGTAAAGTCTGTTAAAGAAAAGATCAAAACTGGCTCCGAGCAAGATGTCAAAGAGAATGTAAAAGGGGAGATTAAAAAGGATGTCGGAACAGATAATAAGCCAAAGGCAAACTCAGAGAATAAGCAGTCTAGCCAGTCAAGGGTCAAATCAGAAAATAAGCCTGAGGTCAAACAAGCCATACCAGAGGCCAAACAAGATTTCAAACCTGAGGCCAAACAAGATGTCAAACCCAAGGTTAAACCTGAGGTCAAACCCACGGTCAAACCCGAGGTCAAACCTGAGGCCAAACCTGAGGCCAAACCTGCAGTTAAACCCGAGGTCAAACCTGAGGCCAAACCCGAGGCCAAACCTGAGGTCAAACCAGACAGAGCACAAGAAAGGAGGAATAGGAGGGAAGAGCGTGCTCGGAGGCAGAAAGAGCGGGAAGATGAAGCCTCCAAGGCAAAGGAAGAAGCTGCCAGGCAGAAGGCAGAGGCTGCGAGAGCCAAACTAAAGCAAGAAATGGAGGCTGCAAGGGTCAAAGAAGAGGAAGCTGCTAGGTTGAAGGCAGAGAAACAGACAGAGGAAGCAACAAAGAAAGCCTCTCGTGTTGAAAGGAGAGAATCCAAAAGGGCAGAGAGGAGAGGGACGCAAAGGGAAAAGTCTCTTGGGGCAACAGATACAAAGAAAACTGCTTCTCCATCAGATCTCATGCCTTCTGGGTCAGATGCATCTACACATAGCATCAGAAGGAGACAGAGCAAAAGGGAAGAGCAGAAGCCATCCCAGGTCTCTGCAGCAGCTCAGAAAGCTGTCAAACCAGACAGCGAAGAGGAAGACCCCAATATGCCTGACGTCCTAGCTCAGGCACAGAAAAAGGCATCTGCCGAATCTGCAACGGGTGAAGAAGGCCGCAGCCCACGAGCGATCTTGACCAACTCGGCCCTGAGGGGAGCCGAGGCTGTCATAGGCCACGCGCTTCCTAAATCTCCTCCCCCGGAAGAGGAGGAACCCAAGGAGGACGCTGAAGATGACAGGAGGTCCAGGAAGGATGCCACTCGCAGGAGCCGGGCCATCAACCGCGGCAGTCGCATCTCACGCCTGGATATCTTCAAGCGGGCCCGCTCGGTAGACAGCTCCAAGGCCAGCAAGGAGCGCTCGCCGGATCGGTTGCTTGGAGGGGGCGGGGCCAGCAGCAGAGCATGCTCAATGGACAGGTCGGGCAAGAACCGCGACAAGTCACCAGGAGGAGAGGAGACCAGGAAGGGAGGCAGTTGGTTGTCCAAGAGGACTGGATCCATAAGCAATTTCCTCAGGCCCTCCAAGTAAGCTTCTTCTTACATTTACCTGTATTTGGCTATTAATAATATTTTTTCTTGTTAATTGAACTTTTACTTGTCAAACTGAAAGTGCTGTGCCAACTATTTTTTGAACTGCTGGATCTTTATCTGGTTCAGTTAACAATACATTGATAGAAGAGGATTTTTGTCCTGGAAAAAATAAAATCAAAACTTGATGTTAACTGATTTAATAAAGTATTCTGCGAGTATGGGGTCAGCAATCAAGCATTAAAAAAAAATATTTGTCTAATTGGATAAAAATATAACCTTTATTTTTTATGCTGGATATTTGCATTATTGCTGGAAGGGGAATGCTGGTTACTGTTACTAATTTGCAATTAACTTAATGTCGTTGGGTCTGGAGCAAGCTAACGTTAGATGACTGTGCACTGGCAAACGCTGCCATGTAACTTGACGCCAGTCGTACGTTTGAATGGTAGCCTGACAAAGTAGTTGACAGTTTCTGAGAGAACACTAACTACGAGACTAGTCGTTTTAGTTAGAAGTGCCCTAGAAAATTGAAATCTTGCTGAAATAGTGTTGTCTTCGTCAGGGCACCATTGTGAACAGACAGATCTTTGAACTCTGTCCACTAGACCAAACTCTGTGGCTGATGTATTTTGAACTTTGTAACTCACTCTCGGTTATTTACGTACATGTGTAGCTGTCATGACATGGAGCTCTGGGATGAGCTCGACGAGTGCTACTGCATCTTGCAGAGCTGTGCTAGCATCTACCGGCCGGCCTACGAATACGAAGACATGTGCCAGCTGCGCTGCCTTCGGGAGACCAGCATCCTGACCTAAACATGACCCCTAGCTTTTAACCTCTTGACCTCTGATTCTACTTTGCATGGCTTGGTGGTTGTACGTAAGTTGCATGGTGGCACTAACAATGGTCTGGTTCCCTGTCACTGAAGTTCCCTGAGTGCGGATGCCGCTGCTGTGGGTCTGGGATCACTAACCATAGCTGAAGGCCATTATGGGGTTCAGAGATGGACCTGCCAGTAAATCACTCACACAGAGGGCACTGACCAATGAGATCATGCCTTTTGGTCACGTGACTCTATCTCTGTCAGACTCGGTCACATGGCCGGAGTTATTAATCATGCATACAAGTAATGTGTTCCAGAAAATGAGTTACAGATTTAAATCACGAAACTTACCCGCTCTTTGAATTGAAAACCTAGGAAGCATTTCTGCAATGCGAATAATGTCAGTAGCACACCTTTGGGGCAGGAAACCAGACCAAGTCTGTTAGAATTATATAAAAACAAATTGTGAAGTCTTGATACATGTATGTATGTGTAGCTGATTGTCAATTTTTTTTATGTTGCATATTGCTAATATAGAAGTTTGTCACAAATGTTTGCCAATTTCCCTCATTTCTTTGTTAAGAGACTGTGCTAGGTGTCTGTTTCGTCAAATAAAGTGTTTAATAACAGGTGGTTGTCAGTAGGCAAGTTAAGTTAGATCTGTCAAAATTAATCCTGAAATGTGCATGAATTGTTGTAGTCATTGGGTCTTCGAATTGGAATTGTTCCAAGTTACACTAAAATGCAGTCGACATAAGGTAAACATGTGGCTGATGTCTCATGTCTTTTTTGCCTCCAAGTGTGTCAGCTGGCAATTCCACGCAACAGCGGACATTTTGTCATTCCGCAACAGACCTTGTTGTTATTCGTCATTCGTAAATGAAAAGAATGTCTTTCTTTTCCAAAAATGAAAGTGAAAAATAAAAGGTAGTACATGTACCTTTAATTTTCCACTTTCATCTTTTGAAAAACTTCTTTTCGTTTAGGAATTACGAATAATAATGAGGTTCGTCGCAGAATGACAAAATGTCCGCTTTAGTGTGGAATTGCCTCAGTACAAATTTTGGTCACAGGTTTGTCTGGCATTTTCAGTGCCCCGAAATCTTTAGCCTACATTAAATTCGTCTGAAAATGATCTTTGCCTGTTTTTCTTTCTTGCATCAAGGAAAAATTACTAAACTAATATATTAACCATTCCATTTGTGAACATTTGTTCCTAGGGTTTGATGCCGCTGGGAGAAGACGTACCCTTGTCATCCGTGATGCGTCACTTTTCATCAACATCCACCGAGCTCTCCATTAATTTATACTCAACGGCTACTCATACTTCCGCAACCGAAGCCACAACTTATATATTTTGTTCTGAGCCCTCTTACAAAACGAATGATGCTATCATCATTCGCAGTCTCCTTGGACCACGATTCTTTTATGTTGGATGGGCAGGGGATTTGTTATGGGCTACGTGCGCAAGTACCCCCTCAACGGTAAGAAAGGGAGAGTTGGGGGAGACCACCGAGAGAGACATTCAAAGCACTGCCAATGACGCCTGATGCTCACATGAAGACGCTATGGCTTTGCGCACATTCAGAATATAATTACTTGTGCGTACTTCGCGCTGCGCTATACCAGCGCGAACCAGTACGCGCACGCGATGTGTCGCGTTCAATGGGCTTTCGAAGGTTGTAAAAGAGCGCCCTCTCTTGTTTGCGCACGGAGCCCATGCCATCCCTCTTGCATCTTGTATTTTTGTTCAGGAACAATTGAAATGGGTGTTCCTCTTAGGCTTCCAGATTTCTAGCATTAATATTGCAAGGGAGAACATTTATACAGGGTCACAAGTTAGTGGCATATACATGTACTTAACACCTATATAGGTTTTATGTCTTTTTTTTTAACGAAAACATAGATTTCTAGTTTTGTATCATTTTTAAGAAAAAAAAAAGGTCTTTAAACCAGTAATAGGTACAGTAGATCTGAATATGATCCAGTTTTCTAAACTTGACTTAAGTATTAATTTAATAACATTGACAAATGTATATCTGAAATACCCTTGTGTACAGTGGGTCAAAATTGTCCGAGTTGGTGAATAGTTGAATTTACTTGTTAGGCCCAAAAAAATAAGTCTCCGGTTTCTGGTATGCACGCGCCGCCGTAGCCATGCGCGTCGGCAAAATGAAAAAGTTTTTTGTTCCAATAAAAGATGATGTCTCAAAACTGCCAAACTCACTGGTTTGACTGGAATCCTGCTGCTGCACAATTTTAACGTGTTTTTAGATGGGGTTATGATCGAGAATAAGCTTTATGTGGCCTCTCCGGACTCCCATATATTTGCACTAAGTTTAGTCGGGCACCAATTGCAGTCCTCAGCCGACATTTGAAGCAAAACAAAACAGGTAAAAGAAAAAAAAAAGGCGCGTCGCCGCACCACTTTTTGGGCAAGCTCCATACCAGAAACCGGAGACTTTTTTGGGGGGCCTTACATTGTTTTTTTTCAGAATTCCCAATCAATTTTTTAGAGGTTGGGCAAAATTTTGTAAAAATAATTCTCTCTGAGCAGCACAAATATTTTACTGTTTTAAAGTGGATATTTTTTTTTAATGCGGATCGATTTAGACATTGTAAATTGTTAAATTACTATGCAAATGTGCTATGCAAATTAATTGTTAAACAGACAAAAGAAATGTGTATTATTAGACAAAAGATAACTGTTTTTGCTTAATCCAGGCCAAGTCAAAAACAAATTTGTATTAAATGTTTTGTACAGTGTATGCAGTAACAACCTGAAAAATGACTGATGAATATGCATCAGGCTAATTTAAATATGTAAATAGTAATGAATATTTACAGTTGAATGACTGTGCACAACTCCATTTAAAACACCTCACTGATGAATTATTCATCCCACCTCAATGAGTCAATGATTTCTCAAAGCTATCATCACAAAGTTTAGAGTTGGTGCTAATGTTTTTAAACTCGAAACATTGTAACTGTGTGATTGGAACTAAATAGCAATATCAAGCAAATTTTCAAGCTCATTTAATATTTGTTTTTATTTAAATTAACTTGGTCTGAGCCAGCTTTTGTCTTTAAATGAATAATTGCCAATTTCTTTTAATTGCACAATTCGTCGCGTCATTGCAACATGGTCGTAACTCGATTCTGCAACAAAGTTGTATCTCGCGTGAATACGCTATGAGCAACAAGGTCTATCTTGCGTATCGCGACGTCCATTGACCTTGTGTGTACATCCGGGTTATTTCAAGCGAGATACGATCTTTTGACAATGAAAACTCGCGTTTCACGTATGTCACACGGCCTTGTTGCACGGACACAACAAATTACACTAGAGGTGCCCAAAAGTTAATTTTATTTGTATGACTGCAATGTTGTGGTGAAGACACAATACAGTATAGCCCACCTCATAATTTTATGCAGTATTTGTACAAGATATGCATTATTTATTAACCAGACTTGTAGTTTTATCAAGTTTTATTTGATTAATTTGATATTTTTTGTTATAAATGAATTATGCATAATGATTTTTTAAAGGATTTGAACTCGTCGAGGCTCAAGAATGTACAGTACTTAACAATGAGGCTTAGTGTTATATTTGTCTTGTAAAGAGTCAGGAAACTAGACCAGTCTTATGAAGGAAAACAATGATCTGGTTATCATAATATACTTATTATCGAAGACGGATCTTCACTGTAGGTAGACTGTAAAAGCAATATGTAAATAAATATATCAACACTATACAGATGCCATCATTTGAAATTGCGTGATGTGATGTTTTTGTATTAGTTTTCTTGCGCGCTTCAGAATTTTTTTACATGGACTTATCTAGCTCCTAGACCCATTTTCTTGAAACTCAAAAGTACTAATGAAAAATCATCTAAATTGCACCAGCACCGGCACCAGACTATGCTGCGACTTCTTTAGACAAGAGAGGTCAGCAGAAACATTAGAAAATCATTGAAGCATTAAAAACAGTATATAGTCAAGTGTGGAAGGCCCTACAACCAGGTTGCATCAAGACCCTCATGCTAAGAGGTCTACATCCATCTCAGTACACCACTGACAGCCGACATGCCAGCAGAGTTCTCTTTAGAGTCTCACTTTATGATGTCTATCTCAGACAGGGATGTTTGAAACCATGTTCAATCATGTTCTCCAAGCCTTAAACCAGTGAGCTCATCTCCAAAGAGGAAAAAACATTCCAACTTCCAGATCAGGACTTCCACTATTACTACTACCAACCCTCCACTCTAGTACCTTTTATTAGTCTAGCAATTTCAGCAGACCCAAACCCAAGTCCAGCCCCATTAACTCTATTTTTCCCAAGTCCACAAGTCCACCTTTAAAAATAATAATCCTTAAGTCCACTGAAAAATTCCAAGACCCTTAAAAATAATAGTCCAGTTCCCTCTCAGGTATCCTCAGCCTCCCAGCCTCCAACCCTCAGATCTGAAAAAATTTCAAGGGGTACCCCTTGTCATCTGAAATTTTGGCCAGAGCTGAAAATTTTCTAAGTACAAGCAACCTAAGGGTTTTAATTACGAAAACCGGAGAGTTTTTCAAGAAAGTGCCATGGCAGAGCGGAAAAGAAGAGAGCTGGCATGCAGAAGGTACGCGGTTCAACCCTGCCCCATGCTACTATTTTATTTATTTTTTAAAATTTATCACTGCAGTGAGGAAAAATTCTCCTCCCGGGGTCCCCGGCTAGGATTTGATCCGGGGACCCCGGCCTGGCGGTCAGCGAGCTAGACCACCAGGCCACTGGCTTCTTCGAAAAATTTGTGCTCGGAACTTATATTTAAAGGTTAGATTGCGCAATATAAAAAAAAAAATACAGGGGGTACAAATATAACCCTTGACCTCATTTGAATAAAAAAAAAAAGGAAATAAATTACACTCTTCTCAGATTTCTTTGGGAGTCAGCATTTAATTATTATACCTGCATGCACACACACCACAAAAAAAAAAATTTGTATCATATAAAATAAACATGTACCATCACCATTACTGGAGTACAATATTGATAGTGTAATCAAGTGTCGTCCATAATTAAACAAGAAAAACCTACATTCAAACATACTTTTGTATTCATCAATTACATGTAAATACAGTAATGGTTATAGTAATCAAGATAGCTGTATAAAAAATAATTGATACTTTATCACCCAATGTTTGGGAAATCATACTAAATATTAAGAAAAAAATTAGTTCTGTTTATACAGTACGAGTTAGGAAACAATCATATTCCCGATTTTACATTTGATTGATCAGCTCAGAGAAAAAAAAAGAAATTATTGAATGAACTGATTTTATCAGTTATTAAACTTCATAAAGTTCAGATAAAAAATGGCTGGTAAATTATTCACGATTCGTGGATTGGTTGACGTTATAAACAGGGATTACCAAAATTCAAAATCCTGGTTACATTTGTAAATAACTCGGTGTGTGTGCATCCATTGGTTTTTACAGTTAACAATTTCTCTTGGAGAAGTACACATAATTCTTTGAAATATGAAAAAAAAATGTTAATTTTTGGACTGTCAGAGACTCATAATGTGATACACCCAATTGTGCACAAGACACAAAACCAGTTCGTATTAGAGATACATGTATATTACATTGTTAAATAATAGTGATTTTTTCTCAATTATTTTTTCATACTTTTTCATCCATTTGCAAAATTTTGATCATTTTGACAGAAATAATGCAGTATCTTTATTGGTATGTTGTGTTTCCCATCATCTAATCAAAATCTTTTAAATGAAACCGACAGAATGCTCCACAAACACGAAAACCACAACTGTGTAACCATACTATGAATATTCCTTCTGGATATGAAATGCTTTGTTCCATGGCATGCCCTACACTTCTGACGTGCGACTCCCGAGTGCGACTTTGTGTTGCAAATGATGTGCGTGCAATACATGTATAAGTGATGTTGCATTCGTCTATTTTTCAACTAACACGTGACATACCAGAACAACACATGACAGAATCCCAAATATTTAAGCTAGATAATTAGTGGGGGGCTGAGAAAGAAAGAAACTCTTATTTACTCAATAGGGTTCTCCCATTGACCTGGCCTACATCTGGGTACTGGAAAGTCAGCGTCGCCATTGCAGTAGGCAAAGATCGTGTACACCGCGCTCATAAGGTGGTAGGCAAGCTTTCAAAGCTGTGATGGATGGCAGAATCTGTGAGAACTGTACACGCAAGATTGTGCACCTTCTTGAGGTAGAAAACTACCGCTCGAAAGCACGAATACCCCTTTCGCAATAATAAAATTGTGCCCCCTCTCAAGATGGAAAACTGGCTCCTAAAAAATAAGAGTGCTTTTCACATGAATAAAATGGTCACTGAACTGGCCATCAAAAGCAAGTGCCCCTCTCGCGATAAAAAAAACGGTCTCTCTACATAACATGGTAAAAAGAACACAAAGAGCAAGATGGACAATGTATTCATAATTTGTTCCTCGTCATATAGGTTTATAATGAAATGAACGGGACCATATTCTTTTCCTCCACTTTCACATCGACGGAAGTGCCCATGTTTGGTGTTGCTTCCCCCCCCCCCCCCCACCCCCACCCCCTTTTAAAAAGTGTTCCACCACCCCTGCGTACACGGCACAGGTAGTGACCATTATGCTGATCGATAAAGAACTTGTGGTTATTTTATGTGAAAATAATCCTTACTCTGTAGTTCACAACGCAACCGACGTACTCGCTAACCAAAACGCTTGCCTACTGCCATGGCGGCCAATCATGGGAGAAACCAAGATGGTCACGTGGCACTTTTGACGTCATACGATTCCAACCATATTAGAATTTGAGAGTAAATTGTGATCCGACATCACACGACGTCCGCCTACAAAGCACTGTAGAGATTCATTAATTCCTCTTGGAATTGTTCCGTTAACGTGGTTCGTTTGTTCTTGAACGTCGGGGTCAGCAGGCCATTCTCGGTGCTGAAGAGCTCCGAATGAAGATGGATTGCTTTGACCTGAAAATAGAACAGACCAGTTTCTGTCAGCTGCGTGGTATCGCAAAAAAGCTAACGATGGTTCCCCACGAATCGGTCTTTGATGTACCCACAAAGTAAATTCTAAAGAAGAGGGATAATACTAGAACAATGTGAGTACCCCACAAACTCCATGTTGTGTGCACAACGCACTGAGTCCTGCATAACAATTAGCTCCCACGATAAGGCCATGGTCATGCATGGAGTCAAAAACAGGGTTATTATGCCATTTCGGACAATATATGAAATTGACAATTTTTCCACTATGCAATCGAGCAGTCGGATTTCCTTAATACATGGATTCCCTAGATTTCAAATATTTCCCTCCTATCGCTTCTCAAAAATATTCACACAGCTTTTTTCAAAAAAAAATATGGTCGTATTTTGCATAAAAACCAATATAAGACCAATTTTCAATTTTTTTTTTTAAAGATATACTTACCACTTCAAATCCTTTTAGGCCTGCCTCCTTGCCATGTTCGGAGATCTGATTCAAGATGGCTTCCTTCACTTCCTGTGAACAAAAGACACAACTTGCTTTGAAACACGAAGGAAGGAATCTGTTACCAACCATGAAACCTGATATCTTTCTATGAATTTGACATTATCTGCACTTCATTTATAAGATATTAAAAATGACTCCCTGAATTATTTTTCTTAAATGCTTTTTTCTTGGCACCCTCTGTGGTTATTTGCATCCAACATTCCTGATTATATTTTTCCTACTTGCCTTGACTTCACAAAGCTCTTTGAAGGATCCTGTGAGTTTCTTTTTGGCCGCGTACTTGTTGAGTTCCTCCTCATCGGGCACGATGATACCCACGAGACAGCTCTACACATCACAAAGAGAAACACCCAGATATTAAGGTACATTGTTAAGTTGGGTAATGTTATCAAAATTATGGAACACATCTGAGAAAAAAATTGCTAAGATATCAAACAATTTCAAAGCAGAGTTTCTGAGGTGGACTCAAACCCCAAAATTCCTAATTCCAATAACATGCGAAACTCCGTCCAAATTGAAAATGAATTTTGGCCTACCTTCAAGCTGTCGCCGAAGATGAACGCCTGGGCGACTAGAGACAGCTGAGTGTAGACACTCTCCAGTTTCTCCGGGGCTACGTACTCTCCTTGGGACAACTTGAAGATGTGCTTCTTGCGATCGATGATCTTCAAAGTACCATTCTATCAAAAACATGCACAAAATAAAAATTCACATTATCAACTAATATCAACTAACTACATGTAGGTTCCATTAACCTACATCACCAAAACCACCCCCTCACAAAAACAAACAAGAAAAAAAAATTCACCCAGCTTGGAAGGATCCAATTTAATTATATTATAACCAACACTATCAAGAACTGTCATCCACTAAAATCCACTAATATCCACTTACCAAGTTCCACTGACAAACATTACCAGACTGCAGCTAGCCCCTCAGCAGGCTCCCTGAGTGTCTTTCTGGTCTAGTCAATCTTATCCACACACTAACATGAACTGCTATCCACAAATATCCATCATTATCCGCTAATATCCACTTACCGGGTTCATCAACCAAAATCCTCTGAAGTCAACCAACCATCCACATACCAGGTTCATTGAGCAACATCTTCAGAGAGCAGCCAACAATGCTTCACTACTATCCACTTACCAGGTTCCACTGACTAACATCGCCCGAGTGAAGCCAGCCATCTTGATCAATACCTTCACCTTTTTGGCAAGCTGCTTTGTCATTCTGGTCTGGACAATCTTATCCACACTAACATGAACTACTCTCAGCTTATATCCGCTAACGTCCACTTACTAGGTTCATTGACCAACATTTTCAGAGAGCAGCCAACCATGCTCATAACAAGTTTTTAGAAATTTTACTGGTGTTGACAATTTTATCCACACTATCATGAACTCTCATCCACTAATATCCACTAATATCCACATACTAGGTTCATTGACCAACATCCTCAGATAGTAACTAATAATAAACACCAAAATCATTTGTAGTCTAAAGTTTTGCTGCTGACAATTTTATCTACAGTATCATGTACTCTCATCAACTCATCATCCATTACTATCAACTAATATCCACTAATTTCAACTTACCCGGTTCCACTGACCGACATCGCCAGAGTGCAGCCAGCCGTCTTCATCGATAGCTTCACTTGTCTTCTCTGGCTGCTTCAGGTAACCCTTGAATACTATGGGGCCTTTGAAGCATATCTGTTTAGTTCATGTAAACAATTAAAACAGTGACAAAAGAAAGCTGCAGTAAGTCAAGTTCTATGTCAACAAAATAAATAATGCTGTAATATTGTTGAATTTAACGTCAACAATTGTTTTTCATCCTTTACACAAATGGGCAATTCTACAGAAACATACGCCTCAATGTCAAAAATTTCAAAATGGTCCAAATGCCACAAATGAAACATGCATTTAATTTTGAAGCTTATATTCAATGTATTTTATTGAAATATAGCTTATTTTTAACAATGTTCAACAGTGCGTCTGTTACTTGCAACTGAAAAATTCATCAATGGGTACACACACAAAAATATTCATTTATCTGAGTGTGTCGGACACCATGGTGTTTCAAGTCGATTTCTACTACAACTAAAAAGGTTGGATGAATAATTTCTTTTTTTCTAAATCGTTGTAGTAACTAACCGATACGTTTTATCGGAATTAAAATCCACTTGAAGATTATAACCATAATTATGCACACCGTCCAAAATGTACGTCAGACACTGTGGGCCTGCCCTCAGTAACCCTCTCCCAAACAGGCAGAAATTTTGTTTCAACTACAAGTTCCTAATTACCTCTCCTTTGTCGTCGGCAGCGAAGTACTTCATGTCGGGCACGTCGACCAGCTTGATCATGCAGGATGGAATGGGTGCGCCTACATGCCCCGTGGACATATCGGCCAGAGACGTGAGCGTCGCGCAGGCGGTACATTCCGTCTGCCCATATCCTTCCGAAACCTAACATAGTTTAAACCACAAATTCATTACTTTTTTTGGCAGTGGTTTAAGTCAGTCGCTTTTGACTGTAATTTATGAAAAATACCACAGGATGTGTTTATTCCAAGTGATCGATGACGAGGAATGTTTGAGCGCATCCTTTTTAGACTGTGAAAATGAAGTTAACTGCTACAAAAACTGCTCACTGACAAAAATTAAAGTGCATGATATTTCAGCCTTAGCAAGGCCTTTTTCAGAGGAAAAAAAGAAGGCGTTACTTAGGTATCTGAAGAAGGCCTTGCTAAAGGCTGAAATATCAGGCCACTTTTTTAAAAATTTAAAAAACCCCAAACAAAGTCTCAGTTTAAAAAAAAAAATGATGAATGAAAAATAATGTGCAAAGATAGTGACAATGCTTCCCTACACAATGTTGAACTTGGAAGGATTAACAAACTCTGAAGTCCAAAAATTCCATGAAAATGTAATTTTGGTTAGTCTGGTTTCAGAAAACTGCCAATGTTACAAATGGACTTCACACATCAAGCATGCATGACAGCCACGTGTCCATCAAGCAATACATGTCACGGTCATTGAAGCATTTCAGACTTACCAGACATCCGAAAACTACCCTAAGGAATGTGATAACGTCAGTAGACAGGGGGGCACTACCAGTGATGATCCATCTCACCTGACCCCCTAGCAGATTCTAAAAATGCAAAGTTGGCAATTATTATGTGATGAATACCAGTTTAAAATTCAGGATGAAGCCCGCCCCTCTCTAAACTGGTTCCCCTGCATTGATTATTTGAAGTTAGATTAAGAAACAAGGGAACCAGTCAACCCACCTTCCCTGGTATCACATAAACTGTGTAAAATCAATGAGCAGCATGTGTGAACCAGTGAGGAGCAAATCTTCTTTCCCTGGGATACTGTTGCTAGGTGACAGCGCCCTCTCTTATTCACATAAGTCTACACTTCACAAATACACAATGGTGAATGCAGTATCTACAATGTCAAGTGCCCACATTCTCTAAAAGTTTCAGCACGTGAACCATGTCACCTGACCAGCTCTCGACCAATCAGAGGGGCTTCGCTTTAACAATCGCTTACAAATACTTCTGGTTGTCAGATGAAAGGAATAATTATAAACTTACCTGGATTTTTTTGAATACGAGCTTGTCCCACAAAGAGTCATTTCTGACGATACCCCTAATAAGGAGGGAAGAATTAAAAAAAATTATTCATATTCTGAAAACTGAATAAAATGAATATCACTGCATACCTAATCTTCTGGTTACCGAGGGTAGAGAACGAGTTAAATTAGTGCAAAATCTTATGAATAATACATACTTCGCCAGTTCGGCCTTCTTTTTGTTGAATGCCATGTTGAACAGAGTTCTCTTGACCCAGCCAGCGCTGTTTACTCCCGTCATAACCTGAACACAAACACAGAAACCAAATAGAGTATGGCAGTTCATTTTAAACATTCAAACTTGACCAAGATTTTTTTTTTTCAAAAAAACTGGACGTGAAGATTGAATTTTTTTTAATTGATAGTTGTTAAGAATAATGCGCAATTTGTCCTGAATTTTACCATTTACAAAAAGAAGTCTTTCACAGTATCTTCCAGTCCCAGTTTAATTGGTACTTTGTACATTCAAGTATCCTTAAGAACGACTTCAAACAATATTTTATTTTGTTGGGTAGGTAGTTTGTTATTCATAATCACTCTTGGAGGACGACTGCATCAAGAAATAAACATCGATTATTCTGAATGACCTGTGAAATACTGTGTGGCTTATTATAACATCACAGATGTCAGATGCAACAGGGACAGGAAAAAAGGGACCCTAAATTTTATAGAATGACCCACAATACCTTGTCGTATATTCTGTTTAAGAGTCGAGGCACCGAGGGGAAAACAGTCGGCCGCAGAGCCTGAACGTCGTCCAGTAACATCTTGATGTCGCCCTGGAAGAAGCCGATCCTAGCACCTACTTGCAGGAGCGTGTACTGCAAATCAGAGGTACAAATTTAAATTATCCAAAAAAATAAAATAAAATAAATTGGCAAGCGTGCAGGAACTGATTAGGGAGTGGAGATGGCACTGCAAAGTTGAATCCTGATGGCAAAAGTGAGGGCAATGCATTGAAGATGATGAGGCACAGTTATAATCGACATACCTCATACCATGTTGTCTGTTGTTCTCTGGACACAGAACAACTGGACAGAGCCATCTCCACAAACATCGAAGCCTTGATCCTCCAGGCCCAGCTTCGATGGACTGACCCTGTTAACCGTTTGGACGAGTCCAGGATTCCATGGCAGCTAGTATATGGCAGACGCAGCGAGGGTCGCGCGAGGAAGAGGTACAAAGACAACCTCAAGCACAACCTGAAGTGGGCAGACCTCCAACCTCGACACCTTGAAACTGCTGCCCTAAACCTGACCAATTAACTGGCATACATTGACCACGAAACGGCAACAAACCGCGAGGCCGATCATAGCCTGCGTCTCACTGCTGCACGTGACCGGCGACATAGCTAGAACAGCGCCTGTCCTGACAAGCGGCGTCACGTGCCCTATCTGCAATCATCTCTGCACATCAGCCGTCGGCCTCCGAAGCCATATGCGCGCCCACAGACAATAATTGCCCAACACATTGCCGTCCTCGGCTCACCAGAGACAACCATCATTGCCAAATCCACAATTATATGTACATTTGTACATGCACACTAAAACAGTACACATGTACATGTACAGTATATCAATTGTACATAGAAAAGCACACAGAGTAGAGAGCACAACCACATATGGTAGCATTCATTGCTGTAGCTGCATGGAGAAGGTGTTGGCAGTGTGTGTTGCATAAGATGTGCGAGTATACGTTTAACACAACATGCAGCGGTCGGCTGTTCAGTCGGGCGTGAGGTCTTCTTTGTTCTCCCAGCAAAAATTGGTGCAAAAACCCATTACAGTGTTCTGGAGCTGAGCCCAATAAGCCATATGCGAGTGATTTATACCTTTGGAATTTAAATTTGAAAAACATCTGGTACACTGACTTGCTCAGAATGCTTGGCACTTTTTCACTTTGAATTCTCCAGACCAAAGACACTGGTGCAGCAAGAAAAATGGTTACCAAGGAAATTGTCACACAGTGTGATCAGCTCATGACTGGATCTCGAATTCAATTTTAGTTAACCCAAGAAAAATATATTATGGTAAACTCTTAGCAGAAGACATGTCCCACAATGTTTGAATTTTTTATTTTAATTATTTTTTTTTTAATGATTTCTGCCATTAAAAAAAAAAATTATTTCAACATTCAAAATAACTCACCGTGACCAGACGCTCGTACTGATGGGCCAATGGTAGGTAGCAAAGATGAGTGTCGTCTTTGGACATCCAAAATTGATCCTAAAAAAATATATAAAATTTGACAGAGAAAATGTATTCTCTCGGATGTAAATAAAGAACCTACAAATGAGAATCACGTGTAAACATTTCATTAAAAAAAGATTCCAAATTGTGGAATTAGGACAAAACTCACAACCCAAATATCAGGCCTAGGTCTTGAAGGGAATATACATCATTGGCTTTTGCTGTAATTTTCAGAAATGGATGGAATTGGGGGGTTGGAAATATATAGCAAATATAGTTACACTGATTTTTTGAGGTTTGGGTTCGAAAATGCTATAAACACCAAGAAAAACAATCATTTTCCTGTAGTCTGGTTCCCTGACTCCATTTAAGAAGAAACAGAGCAGTTTACATATATTGGGGAATTGTAAGGTCAGGGAACCAGTCTAGCTGGCTTGTACCCGTTCATAGGTGTGCAATCGATTGCAAACAAGTGCGATGGTCAACTGGGGCCAGTATTTGAAAAAAGGCCAGTTTTTCCAACGCTGATCGGCCAATCAGCGTTGGAAATTGATACAAAAATACCACTTTTCTTGAAAATGACAGTATACCAGGTGCCATGATTTTACAGGATGCTTTACACTGTCATTCACTAACAGTCCAGTAAGGCATTTCAAAATGATTTGGTACTTTTATTTTTTGATGTTTGCAAATGTTGTATTTTCCCTTTAAACTGAATCAGCTTCAACATCAAGTGTTTCAAATAGGCCCAACTGGCACATTTTGGAAAGGTCTTTACTTGCGACAAGACGTTTACAAATATTTTTCGATAAGAGGCTACGACACTGACCATTGCGAAAACGTTCAGCCCCTTGATGTCATTCATGAAGTTATCGTGCGTCATGATGGCCCCTTTTGGAATGCCTGAAAAGCAGAAAACAAAGCCGTCTTTAGAAGTGAAATATATACGCACAAATTTAGACAGTGAAATACCGGAAAAATCTAGAGACAAAGACTCGCTCTTTAAAAATTAAAAAATGTCAGTAAAATATTAACTTTCATTATCCAAAGCCTAAAATCTGGGGAGTAAAATTACTCCTCCATGAGAAATACTTATCTCTACTCTTGGTAATAAGTTTTGATAAGGCCAAGTAAAAAAATAAACCAGTTCCTCGTCCCCACCCGCTTCTTTTTTTCACATCTGCCTACTTTTATTTGGAAAAAAAAACACAAACAAACATCCAATTTATACATTTGTAATATATTTTGCACATAAATTGTCACTGTTTGTCTTTTTATTTGTTTCCAACAAAACTGTAGCTACTTAGGGATAACCCTTTCAAACTAGATACTAACTGGCTAGGTATAAATAGCTCCTTGGGACACAATTTTGTATAAAAAACTAGTCGAGAAAAGTTGGATAATTCACCATCCTGCGAAAAAAAAACATAATGCCTGCCTCCTTCATTTTTTTTCATAAAAGCTGGACGAGACACGCTTATATCTTTACTAAGCCTAATAATTTTTACCAATTTGAAGAAATACAGTTTATTCTATAAGCAAAAAGGTTAAAAAAACTGTCCTTTCCAACCGCCCACCCCCTCTTCCAAACATGTGTTGGGGGGGGGGGAGGGGGGGCTGCTGGGGGGGGGGAAGCTTTGTGCATTTCTCGTACAATATTTCTTCACTGATTACCTGTAGTGCCACTGGTGAAGCATATGGAAACAATATCATCCTTCTTAGGAAGCTGTGTGAATTAAAACATGCAATTAGTAGAATTTTATGAATAAATAAGTAACCTCGTTTCAAACGGAGCACAAACCTCGATTCAAACTGACCATGAACAGGGCTAATGCTGGGGCGGATACCTGCAGGGAAAAGCCGTACCCAGCCTTTAAAATGGCAGGTATCCGGTTACATTTTGTCTCGTTTTAACACCCAACAAGTTAATTCTAGATTTCCATAGAGCCACACAGGGGTAACTGACTCGGTGAATTGTAATTACTTTAAGGTTGAACAAAGAAGTTGGCTGGAGCGGGGTTTGAACCTGCGACCTCCGGATTGCCGTTCCGGTGCTCTACCAACCGACCACAGTCAAATTTGTCCACCATCTCCCACAACGCACTGGGAAAAATAACTCTCCGTGACAAACTCTTGGTGGCGCACTGAATTGTGAATCGCCCATATTAACAGTGCTGCAGTCAAAAAAATTGTAACAATTTATCGGACTTACCACCGGTTCTTGCCGATTGTTGGTGCCAATTTCCAGCATGTCTTCGTACAGGATGAGCTCGATGCCTCGCTTCTCAAACTCTTCCTTCTTGTCCTCCGGGATGGGTCCGTCAAAGATGACCACCAGCTTGACCGCGGCGTCCTCCCCGAGGATGTCCGTTAAAGTGTCCAGCTTGGAAACCTTGTCGATGAAGATGGCCGGCATCTCGGCTGTAACACAACAAATTGAAATTGTAGTTAGATAACCATAAACAAAACATATTTGGGTGCAATATATGTCCATGACTTTTTATTTATTCATCCTATCACTCTGTGAAAGTTTTGAGTACGATACAAAAAAATACTGCAAGTAAAACTTGCACGATCCCCCTGGTATCCTGGCAGTTTGTATACACATACAGCCTGGCAGTTAGTACAGACAATTTTCAGTGACAGTGTAGCGTGAATATCTGACTCCATGAAATGTGGACTCATTGGTAGTACTGCGCACACTTGAGTACAATACTATGCTATTTTTAGGATCGTTTCGGGAGAGTGACCTGTCACGTGCGAGGGATCAACCAATAATAGGGAAATAGGGGTCCGATTTTCATAGGAGTCGGATTTTCATGTGACAACGGCCTTGATTGTCCACCCGGCAGGTACCAGTTCTCAGTTGAATGGGCAGTTTAGGTTGAATGGGGAGTTTTGACTGACATTATGTTAGAGTCATTAGTATCTCTCCAGAGACCTCGTAAATATCCATATTGGAAAGGATTTTTTTGAGGTCGGCCTTCTCTCCACAGACCACCTTCCATAAGTTTGGTTGAGATCGATGACTGAACTTTACAGTGAAATGGAACACACACACTCCTGCACAGACACACAGCAGGAATACACGATCACAATATCCCCGTCTGGTTTGAAAGCCAGGCGGATAAAAAATATATTTAAAATGGTGAACCATGCAACATAGGGCTGGATAGCTCAGTTGCAAATAATGGCATTGATCTATGTAGACTTACTGATGTTGATAATGTGCTTGCAGGCCTCAATGCCCAGCGTGTCGTACAATGCCACGGCCACCATGGAATATGCCATACAGGCACGGTCCATAATAACCCACTGCAAAGAAACACAAGAAAACAATCACATTAATCCTAACTTCCTAGCATGATTTACTAGGAACCATACCCATCCTGGCAAATTCCAACACCATATGGGAAACTGCATACACATATTTCTGACTTAGTTTCTGGAGGTGTGCCAACCCAATGTAAAAGACTGTCAGTTTAGGGGTACTGTACCCATCCTGACAGATTCCAACAAAACATGCCGTTGGGGTTTGATGGGTTGAGTTCTGTTAGGGTTAACAAATCATTTAACCCTAACTCCCTAGTGTCTTTTACTAAGAAGTGGACCAAGTCCATCAAAATTCATCAATTACTGTGCTTCCAATACAAAAATATGAAGGTACAGGAAGCTAGGCAAAATCAATCGGATACCACTAGCACTGCTTCAGGCCACTAGGCCCAAGTCCAACATACTTAGCCACACCAGGCCTACTGGGCCGAGTCCCCCAAAATGGGGGGATGGATTTTGATGGAGTTGGGATGTTAGGGTTAAGGAGAAACCTTCAGGACATTTCACTTTCCACATGTTCAAAATATCCAGTTACAGCACTGACGTTTTATCAAATTTTGCCACAAGATGATGTAAATTGTACTACTCAGAATCAATTTTTTTTTCAGCACTGTACCATCAGTCCCATTTGAGAGTTTGTAAGAGCAATTTTACACATTGGCAAAATAAAGTAATAAAATTTACAATTCAATTTACATAACAGTGGCTATATCACATTTGAATGGGCCAGCAGACCTTGGAACATTTGGTGGTCGAGTGGTTGACGTCTGCACTAATAAACAGGAGGTCGTTAGTTCGAGTCCCACCTAACAGAACTTGGTACCTTTATTTCTCAAAAGCCCCTCGGACGGCACCGAGTATACGGTGCTCATAAAAACGACTTCAGTGAAGGGCAAAAGCCAATATATTCCAATCATTACCTCAGGCCGGTTCTGTGAGTAGACGCCGATGTTGGTTGCATTGCTGGGATGGCATCCCTTCTGGATGAGTGCCGAACCAAGCTGAAATGCTTTGTCTCGTACCTGCATACAACAAAATAAAAACATATATTGTTGCGTGCCTTACCCTAATAATTTTTTTAGCTACCAAAGGATACTCAAAGTTTGCTGAAATCCGACACTCTGGAGCTGAAGGAGAAAATGAATTATGTGATGTTTCTAATGATCACACCAAAGTCTGGCTCTCAGCAAAAAAAAAGGAGCTAAATAATTTTTTTAAGACAAATCTTTACTCTGAAAAGGTTTGTCGGAGACTCTCAAGAGAATTTTAGTCACCAAAATTTATCTTTCAACTTCCCCTTCTGAATCAGACAAATCATTCTTCAATTGCCCCTTTCGTAACCCATTTTACACCCCCCTCCTCAAAAACGATGATCTTTTATGACCTGTGTCCTTGCCACGACGCAGTTTGTAGGACTACTGGTAAAATCCAGTGTTGGAGTCAAGTACACTTTGATGAGTACAAGAACAAGTACCAGGCAACTTTGTTCCAAGAGTTTCAAAAGAATTTACTCGAGTTCGAGTACGAGTACTTCCACAAGTAGGAACAAATTTCAATGTGTCACATGTTTTCCAGGGCTTGTTGCTGTCAAACTAGTCATAAAATAAATGCAGAAGCCTCTCAATCAGTAGAAAACTATTTTTTTCCTACATATATCTCTAAAAAGACAAGTCAGGTGTGTTTACAAACACAAATGCCCCGCAACCGTGACTGTTTCCATGACATAACACCACTCTAACATCAACTTACATGTACCTTGGTCAAATGGAACGTTCATTGACAGCATTAGTGTCTTCTGTAGGTTTTATATGAATTAATCCCTAATCCCTATGATCTCAGTATAAATACAAGATTTCTATTGTTTTAGCCACTGTGACCTTGACCCTTGACCTTTCAACCCCCAATGCGATAGGCTCCTTAGGATTGCCAAGGACAATCCACAAACCAAATCTGAAGTTCATATGTAAAGTATATCTCAAGTTATCACGCTGACAAAATTTCTTTTGTTTCAGCCACTGTGACCTTGACCCTTGACCTTTCGGCCCCAAATGCAATAGGCTTCTTAGGATTACCAAGAACAATACACAAACCAAATTTGAAGTTCATATGTAAAGTATTTCTCAAGTTATCGCGCTGACAAAATTTCTTTTGTTTTAGTCACTGTGACCTTGACCCTTGACCTTTTGGCCCCAAGTGCAAAAGGCTTCTTAGAATTGCCAAGGACAATCCACAAACCAAATTTGAAGTTCATATGTAAAGTATATCTCAAGTTATCGCGCTGACAAAATTTCTATTGTTTCAGCCACTGTGACCTTGACCCTTGACCTTTCGGCCCCAAATGCAATAGGCTTCTTAGGATTACCAAGAACAATACACAAACCAAATTTGAAGTTCATATGTAAAGTATTTCTCAAGTTATCGCGCTGACAAAATTTCTTTTGTTTTAGTCACTGTGACCTTGACCCTTGACCTTTTGGCCCCAAGTGCAAAAGGCTTCTTAGAATTGCCAAGGACAATCCACAAACCAAATTTGAAGTTCATATGTAAAGTATTTCTCAAGTTATCGCGCTGACAAAATTTCTATTGTTTCAGCCACTGTGACCTTGACCCTTGATCTTTCGGCCCCAAATGCAAAAGGCTTCTTAGGATTACCAAGGACAATCCACAAACCAAATTTGAAGTTCATATATTAAGTATTTCTCAAGTTATCGCGCTGACAAAATTTCTATTGTTTCAGCCACTGTGACCTTGACCCTTGACCTTTCGGCCCCAAATGCAAAAGGCTTCTTAGGATTACCAAGAACAATACACAAACCAAATTTGAAGTTCATATATTAAGTATTTCTCAAGTTATCGCGCTGACAAGATTTGTCCGGACACACACACCCACACACCCACCCATACTTGTTTCACATGACTAGTGTGGACTTTCCATTGCTTTCGTGTAGTTAAGAAAAACCAGTGAAAAAACTCATTTTTCTCAAACTGTGAAAACTCTTTCAACCCAATTTTTTTTCTATGATTCCCTTTAGTGTTTCTCTTCATTCTGCTACAGATAAACCTAACCCAAAAATGCCTCTAAACCTGTTTTCCAGAAATGGGGAAACACTGTGTGGACGTGGGGTAAGTCCACACAACGTCGGTGCTACCTACATTATGTGGACGTCTTTTGTTCGGAAGTCCACACTGCGTATGTAAGACAAACTCACCCACGGAAGGACAAGGCGGAAACAGTATGCCCCTTCGGCTTCGCCGCGGGGCATAAAAAAGAGAACGGGTATGATTACTTTGTCATGAGTACGAGTCACATTACAGGTAATATTTTCTTGTGAGTACAATTACGAGAACATTTTCAGGAGTACGAGTACCAAAAGAAATGTACTTGAGTACGAGTACGAGTACGACAACACTGGTAAATTCTCAAATTTTGTGTTTCACAAATTTTGTACCTGGCTGTATGACATCCATTGGAAAGGTGCATCAGAACTTCTCCTCCATCCCAGGCACGGCCCATCACCTTTTACAAAACCACAAAACACACAAAATAAAAAACCCAAACTAAAAATCATGTATTCCAAGTAATTCATATTTGAAAAGTAGGTTAAGTACGGTAATGTCAGTGAAATTATTCTGTCATGACTTGTTGTCATTAAGAAGACATCAAGAAATGCAGATACTTTCCAACGATCAGGCAATGAAGTGATTTTTGGGGGGAAATAAAGAGTTATATACATGTAGATGAACTCATGTTTCGTATGGATTTTGAGCTGTGTTATTATTGGAAACGAACAAAGTAAACGATCCTGTATATGCCTTTAACTAGTTCATGTCGGATGATGTGTATACACGCAAAGGTTTTGCGGTATTTGGAACACATGACGGATAAACACGCTACGAGCAAGGCCGGAAATATCTGTCTGCGACCCGCTTGCAGCGACCAAAGCCGGAAATATCAGGGTGTGCTACCGGCATATGACGGCCTGAACCCGCACCTGGGTCCGGCCTGCACCTGGGTCCGGTCAATGTCAAAATAATCCCGGCGCGAACTGGCTAAACACACGGCCACCAATTCTTTCAATGTAATTTTTATGTATGTTTGCATTGTACTACAACAGCAAATACAGCAAAGTCACATGCTTTCTAAGGACTTTTTAACCCTGGTTTGCTAGTAGGAGCCCTAGGGCAGAATAACAAATTTGAAAAAGGGAAATAAATAAATAAACTCATTTCAAAACTGGAGTTGTAAAAACAGGCATTTCAGGCATGTGTTACTCATTGAGACACATGTACTGGTACTTTTGATTTGTCAGTATCATATGTAGTTCGATACCTTGTGTAAATTGTTTTTACACACGGCAGGAATTCTGGGGAATGGGACAATAGATGACCAGGAACCCTTGCTGGTATTATTTATCACTTGCTTGTGCGTGTATAATGCCTATTATAACAAAAAGCATGTGCACAGTGAATTAAATTTCAAGGCTAATTTCAATAGTTCACAGAACTTGACCCCAACAAACTGAAAGTTTAATTGGCAATATGTATTTGTTCATAGCCCTTTCTTCTTCAGTGTGTATACATGTACGCACTTTTAACTTAACCCTTTTTCCCACTTGGTGAAATGGTTAATACTACATGCGAATGTGAAGTGAATTTGACGTCAAGAAATATTCCCTGCAAAATTTGTGTTCAACTTCTGCAAACTTGCAGTGTGAAAAAAAAATTAAAAATTGTGCAGCGACATCACAAATTTGCGTTCATTTTCATGCATGAGAACCGCTCTTTAGACAGTATTTTGGCCGACCTGATGCCTTCAGTCCACTTTCGAGCGCCTCGTAGCAAGTGTTGATCTCCGGATGGAAGCCATCTTGGATCACCGGCTGGCCATTCGCGTAGTCATTCAAGGGTGATACGTGGATATGCTCAGGTCCCTGGAGTTCAAAAGAAAAAGGAAAAAAAACTTGCAGCCTTGTTCAGGTTTGAATTTTTTGTTTTGGTTTTTTTATGCATATTCGCCTGGTATAAGGCTAAAAGCCACAGCGGGTACAGGCCTACAAGAAATTAAACGAAGAGTAGGCACTCAGGAAAACTGAAAGTAGGAATTAGCATTCCTCTTGAAACAGGACAGATCATAGGTTGGAGGGAAACAAGCACCAGGCAAGGAATTCCAAAGAGATGCAGCACGTGGACAAAAGCCACATGTACATGTATCTTGACCCATACCCCTAACCTTAAAGTTTTCATTTGAATGATAGAGAATCTTAAAAGTTGCCAAATTCAAATTCCAAAGGATTAATGTAAAACAAAATGGACTTGGGCAAGTCGAAGAATTCACGCTATGTCCCATATGTAATGAAAGTTTAACCCACTAAAATATTCATGGATTTCAGTGTTTTTTTTATTCTCACAAGAATTTTCATGTTATTGGTCTTTGCAATGATTATGTTATTAAAGAAAACATGTCGTTACATACATGTACGGGACAAAGAGGGGACTTTGTTTGGACTTTTGTTCATTCAAATTATGAGTTTTGATTCCTGAGCGATTCAAACATAGCACTGGGCCCCCCCCCCCCAAAAAAAAAATTTCCAAAACCAAAGCTTAATCTTTTCCTGTCCAGGATGTTGACAAAGCAAGAAAATTTAATGCATTTATCCTGGATTGTTTCCTTTTGGCACAATGGAGTTAATCCAAATAAATTCCTAAACGAAAACAAAAAGGATGTTAAAGGGCAAACATTAAAGACTGTAAAGCAACAGACAGCACTGGACAGGTAGCAGCTATTTAAGTGAGAAAAAGGTTGTTAAATGTACATCCTGAAAACTACATAAAGAAAGGGAAACACCTTTTTGTTAAATGTGTCCTTACATACAGTGTACAGTACATGTACATGTGCTTTTCATGCAAGGTTATACTGCATAGAAATAATGGCAAACCACAACTTATGTACATGTACATTGTAGTATGAGATTTCTGTTTTTCTTAAGCCAAATTTCACATTCTGGTACAATGTATGCAAAATTCTGTGTGTACAAAATATTTCTAAAAAGGGAGTTCTGTGTCGTATGTACATGTATAGTTACTATTCCAATCTTATTTTTCGTTGCAATCTTGTGAATCATAGGGTTGACCAGTATTACAACTCTATGTAAATTAACATACATTATACCCTTGCAAGTGGCTAATAAAGTTTATGTTTTGTTTAATGAGGGGCGAGATACAAATATGACTAACTGCTAAATAATCTCACTATTTACAACAACCACATTTAAAGGTCCCTTTCAAATTGAAAAAAATAATAATACCAAGGTAACCATTCCAAATGCCTTAAAGAGGCTGCGGAATGCTCGAAGACTTTCCGTCATTTTTTGGGTATACGGTATGTAGCCTAAGGTGTGATGAAATAAAAATGACTATTGTGTCTGTCATGAAATGAGTACGAAAGGTACTTTTGAGAGCTGTTTTCAGGTCCTGTTTCGACCCGAACGTGCAATGTGTGTAAAAGACATCGTTTGGGGGCAGCAAACAAAACATAGTAAATCGTGACGTAATAAACAGGACTCCCGATGCAGCGTAGTATAAACCTCTTTAAAAATGTAACTTGGCCACACGTATTAAGAAAACTATTGTGATTCTGTCAAGCCCAAATGCATAACACATGTACATCACAGCCAGTGTGGTATGATTCCCATTTCAAGTCATGTGATAGCTACATTAATAAGGAATCATGTCTGCTGAGATCACCCCACACAACATGGACACGGATGTTGCTTGATCATGAGTGTCGATGACCTTTCGTTCTGGATCCCCCCTCTGAAGTTAATGGACTTTGTTTGGACTTTTGTTCATTCAAATTATGAGTTTTGATTCCTGAGCGATTCAAACAGCTCACTGGGCCCCCCCCCCCCAAAAAAAATTTCCAAAACCAAAGCTTAATCTTTTCCTGTCCAGGATGTTGACAAAGCAAGAAAATTTAATGCATTTATCCTGGATTGTTTCCTTTTGGCACAATGGAGTAAATCCAAATAAATTCCTAAACGAAAACAAAAAGGATGTTAAAGGGCGAACATTAAAGACTGTAAAGCAACAGACAGCACTGGACAGGTAGCAGCTATTTAAGTGAGAAAAAGGTTGTTAAATGTACATCCTGAAAACTACATAAAGAAAGGGAAACACCTTTTTGTTAAATGTGTCCTTACATACAGTGTACAGTACATGTACATGTGCTTTTCATGCAAGGTTATACTGCATAGAAATAATGGCAAACCACAACTTATGTACATGTACATTGTAGTATGAGATTTCTGTTTTTCTTAAGCCAAATTTCACATTCTGGTACAATGTATGCAAAATTCTGTGTGTACAAAATATTTCTAAAAAGGGAGTTCTGTGTCGTATGTACATGTATAGTTACTAATCCAATCTTATTTTTCGTTGCAATCTTGTGAATCATAGGGTTGACCAGTATTACAACTCTATGTAAATTAACATACATTATACCCTTGCAAGTGGCTAATAAAGTTTATGTTTTGTTTAATGAGGGGCGAGATACAAATATGACTAACTGCTAAATAATCTCACTATTTACAACAACCACATTTAAAGGTCCCTTTCAAATTGAAAAAAATAATAATACCAAGGTAACCATTCCAAATGCCTTAAAGAGGCTGCGGAATGCTCGAAGACTTTCCGTCATTTTTTGGGTATACGGTATGTAGCCTAAGGTGTGATGAAATAAAAATGACTATTGTGTCTGTCATGAAATGAGTACGAAAGGTACTTTTGAGAGCTGTTTTCAGGTCCTGTTTCGACCCGAACGTGCAATGTGTGTAAAAGACATCGTTGGGGGCAGCAAACAAAACATAGTAAATCGTGACGTAATAAACAGGACTCCCGATGCAGCATAGTATAAACCTCTTTAAAAATGTAACTTGGCCACACGTATTAAGAAAACTATTGTGATTCTGTCAAGCCCAAATGCATAACACATGTACATCACAGCCAGTGTGGTATGATTCCCATTTCAAGTCATGTGATAGCTACATTAATAAGGAATCATGTCTGCTGAGATCACCCCACACAACATGGACACGGATGTTGCCTGATCATGAGTGTCGATGACCTTTCGTTCTGGATTTCCCCCTCTGAAGTTAATGGAAGTGGCACTTGGCAACGTGCCAATTGGCAACGTGCGAATTGTGATCATGCCACAATTGCCACAATCACAATGAGTAGTAAACCGACATGTAGGCAGTTCCTGCATGTATTATTATCACTGGCTGTAGCCCATTTTTAAAAATTTATTCCCAGAATCAATGTCACACCATATTCAGAGTGACATATTTACCATTCATGCACATGTACATGAATTAATAAAAAGTCCACATTTCTCTCTATGCACAGCCATTAAAGGGGATATTATTTGAAGTGCTATTTAGACATTTGTAAAAAGCGACATGGTACAGTAAGCACCATGTTATTATTATGATTATTATTATGCCGTGTAATTTTTAGGTCCAATGCTTCTGGCTTTGACACATGCAAAAGTATATCCACATATTCCAAGAGCTACATGTAAATGTACATGTATGTACATGTATGCATGTGCGTACATGTAAAAACTTATCAGAAATTGTACACGTTATATAGATGAAGCCCCCTCTTCTATGCTTATCTCCTAGCAGTGGGGACGAATATTTAACGTTTTAAAGGTCAATCAAGGTGATAAATCTAAATAAAAAAGGTTATCACATCATTTGATGCAAGAGTTTGCATGGATCCACTTGTACTGGAATGCACAACTTTAACCTGTTCAATAAAACATTTGAGTATTCTTTATTGCTGTGCCCAAACCACACAAAGATGCCAGCATTTTGTGCACACCTCTAGATGTGGGTCATTCTTTTAATGTGGGGTCAACTTTTTCTCCTGTCCCTGGAACCAGTACCAGTATCTGACGTCTATGATTTTATAATTTTGATACACTCCTTAACTCCCTGGGAGTAAAGCACAGTCAGTTTACTAGTGCAGTACTCATCCTAACAGATTCCAACAAACCCCGGTGTTGGAGTTTGGCTGGTTGGGGATCGTTAGGGTTAGCCCTAAGAGTCCTGAATCCTCCAATTTCAATACGATTTTGCATACCCCCTTGTGAGTTAGGATTAATGCAGTCATCCGCGAAGAATGACTAGGAATAGCAAACTACCTACCCTGGCCCAACAATTAAAAAAATTGTTTGAAGTCATTATAAATGATACCTGAATGACAAATAACAAAGTAGCAATGATCACACTTTGGACCCTACATTCATAAAATGCCATGTGTGCAAACACGTGGCGTTCTACGACAAGTAGTGTTCCTTCCATTCACACAATCGAATGGACTTGGTGCACAAATTTGTACACAAATGCGCTTGATATAGTGGCAACGGAGCCCTAATTAATTCCCTTCTCGGTTGGCAAATTCAGCTACGCCAACCCAGCAGTCAAATGCAATCAAGTGACTGTTTTTAACAGTTGAGTGCTCCTTGCCCACATAAAGCAGGATTGACTGGCTGTGACTGTTATGAAACTTGATACAGCAGTGTTTTGACTGTAGAAGATTGATAAGCCAGCTTTGCTTACCATAAGCTTACAAGTGTCTGTTGATGGAATTTGACTGTCACAGTGCCTACAAGAAATATGATTTGACTGTTGGTGACTAGCCTGTGTAAAAGGCACGGCAGGGAAAGTGGATTGAATTTTTTACTGTCTGTGACTGATCAATCTGATATAGCCATGCTTTGACTGGGGGTGATTGATACGCCAGCTGTGCAGTCACCTCTTACGCTACATATTACTGGTTAAGGTTGGATATTTTATAGCATAAAAATACCAGCACTTTTCAAGTCTTCATCATCACAACCTCTTTTGTCTGTTGATGGAATTTGACTAGTCACAGTGTTTATAAATACCGGTACGAATGCGATCTGACTCTTTTTTTTTGTACTAGCCTGTAAACAAATTTATGCATTCATGTCACATACTCACAACTTCATGTACAGCAAACATGTACCACTACACATTTACAGTGCTAACTTTTACCGAATCATTTGTACACTTACCGGCAATTCTACGGATTGTCTGTCCAGGGAGAACGCCTGTTTTACTGGCTCTGGCCCGTTACCCATTGCAAGGCTAGCAGCACCTAACGCAGCAGCAGTTACCCCAACCGTCAGCAGAGGATGTTCAACACAATACTGAACCAAGCTTTCCATCCTGTGCGGGGAAAAAAGAAAAGAAAAATACAATTGTGAAACAGAGATGGGAAGTACATTAATACAATAATATTTCCTGCTAGGCAAGGACTTCCAATAAGGAAAACCAACTGAAATGCCATATGTCATGGGAAATGACTTCTTTTTTTTTTAAGTGAGGAATGTAGATCAACAATTGACGGTTCCAATACTCCAAGGTGAGATGAGAGTAAAGTGGCTTGCTCAGGGACCCCTCCTCTTACCAATGACTCTTTTTAAAACCCAGCTATGATGAGGCCGGCGAGAGTAAAGTGGCTTGCCCGAGGACACAGCAACACTTCAACCAGCTGAGTTCGAAACTTCACCCTTAAATGACAAGTCACAAACCTAATCCACTCACTTACCACTGCTCCTTACTGTGGACGTTCTCTCACCAATGACCTTCTCTATGAAACCCACGCAACGTGAGGCCAATGAGAGTGAAGTGGCTTACCCGAGGACACAGCAAATGACCAGCAACTGGATTCGAACCTCTACCTTCAAATCACAAGTCACAAAACTTAAACCACTTAGCACTGCTCACCACTGCAGACTGTCTCTTACCATGGAGGAATATTCCTCCATGCTCTTACCAATGACTTTCTCTTTTAGATCCAGCTAAGATGAGGCCATTGAGAGTAAAGTGGCTTGCCACAGGACACAGCACATGTTCTACAATTGGATTCTAACCACTCCCCTTCAAATCACAAGGTACAAACCTTTACCCACTGACATGTACATATCTGTACCACTGCTCAACACTGCAGACTTACTCCAAACTACATGTACAACGTACATGACTTTCTCTTTAAACCGGAACTTTGACAAATATTATGAAATGGAACTGATGTCAGGGTCTAATGTTACTGGGATCATTCTTATCATCGCCAGACTAGAATTTGATGTATCGGTTTCACTTTCATAAGTACTTAAAATTAAATACAACAAAAGTAAATCTACATGTAATTTCAACATGCCTCCTTTACCACTAACAATTTTATTGTTATACGTACTGGTGCAATGTATGCCAACAACTTTTTTATCGGTATGTTGTAAGCTTCACTTTCCAAGCACGACAAAGTTTTGGCAAACTACCAAATCTCCTCCATATAAATATGGCACAAGAGGAAGAAAAATATGCCAAGTGTCTTGGATAAGACGTGTGTTGGTGTACATGTACGTATCTCAAAATATCTCAATACTAGGGTACCCCTCTGTTGGATAAGCCGCTCGTTTTGCAACGTTGCTGCTTTGGGTTTGAGTCTGTTACAAATGTTCTGTCTCATTCGATCACTCTTAATGGCAGGCACTTTAACTTGAAAGAGGGGAATTTTTTTTATCAATTTAACTCTTTAACCCTAACTTGATAAACAAGGGGGGAAAACATCACTCTTGGACAGAATATTGCAACCTGACACTGCTTTTTTCTTCATATAGATTTATCATCTCAATGACGGTCAATGACAATAAGACATGAATCTGGGACTGAGAAACATTTCCAATTTTTTAAGGAGATAGGCCTACTTTGAAAATTTTCTTGGCTCTCCATAGACTTTGTACACAACCACTGAAGTGGCGTCAGGTTGCAACGTTCTTTTCTCACTCTCCCCCAAACCCTAGCTCTAATTAGCTCCACCCCTTTGGTATTGCATTTGTCATGAACCTGTACATGTAAAATACATTACAATTTAAAATCACAGGTGGTTTTCTAGTTCTGAGGATTTGTGTGTGTTTCTTGCATGTCGCATTTTGTCCAACGATACGTAATGCACACCGTGTAATGAATTATTAAGTACATTACATGTGTAATCTGTTTCTTGCTCTATGTAAAGGCAAAATACACATCACGAACTACAGTTAACATAAGTATTGAGTAAAGTACATATTGTGAACACTGCCTTGAATAGCCCCATAAATGTGGCCTATTTACTGGACTGCCTCCGTAAACATAGGCCACACATCCACATGTACAAAAATCGTGTCGACGGAGCCAAATTTTGATTTTCACATTTAGGCTTAGTTTGTAGGTTTTTTTTGCTTTAGAAGCATACTCACCCTCTTTATAGGCTAATCAGAAAGTGCTGCCTTTTTCAGATGTATATTTTTCGTAAAATTTCCAGATTCATTTTTACACGTTTGCGTATCAAAATTTCAACATGAAATTTCACAAAAATTAGACATCTGAAAAAGGCAGCACTTTCTGATTAGCCTGTAAAGAGGGTGAGTATGCTTCTAAAGCAAAAAAAACCTACAAACTAAGCCTAAATGTGAAAATCAAAATTTGGCTCCGTCGACACGATTTTTGTACATGTGGATGTGTGGCCTATGTTTACGGAGGCAGTCCAGTAAATAGGCCACATTTATGGGGCTATGCCTTGAACTGCAAGGATAATTGGTGCATAGTTTTAGGCACCAACCTTCAATTGCAGTCTAGGAGACTCTATGAACTTAGCACAATTTAGAATTGGTACAAATGTATCTGCAGAGTAACTTTGCGACACCCAAAAGACAAATCAAAAGACACTCACCACTTCATCCACAAATTCCCCGTTAGGCATGTGTAAGTGTACGTGTACACCCATAGAGCAAGAAACAGCCCAGTACACAACCCATACCCAATATCCACAAAAGGTGTTCAACCCTACCCCAAAAAAATTTTGCATATGAAAACCTGGACTACTTTTGTATTTCTGCATGAACGACTTTGAATGGTTTTGAAATGGCTAACCAGAACTGATTCAGAGTGAATTGTGAATGGTTGGTATGCTGGGTTAGGGAACTTTGTGGCATGAATGGAAAGCAATCTGGCCTATAATCCTAAATCTTTCCAAGAAGCCCAACTAGATTTTATAGCAAATGGCACGAAACAAAGATATTTTTTGTGGGAGTTAAAGGAAATACAACATTTGCTTTTGCTGTAATTTTCAGAAATGGATAGATTTGGGAGGGTTAGTATTTTAAAGCAAATATTGTTACACGGACTTGTTTGAAGTTTTGGGTTTGTAGATGCTGGAAAAACCAAGAAAAACTGTGTTCTTGTAGTCTGATTCCCGGATCCCACTTTATATGGTAGATGTCGGGGAATTGTAAGGTCAGGGACCCAGTCTAGCTCGACTGCAAACAAAATGCAGACTAACTAAATATGGAAAATTGGGGGCAGTACATATATTTCAAAAAAGCCAGTTTTTTTCCCTACGCTGGTTGGCCGACCAGCATTGGAAATTGATACAAAATTACAAGTTTTCTTTAAAATGTCAGCACACCAGGTGCCAAGATTTTACAGGATGCTTTAGAAATTACAGTGACAGAACACTGACAGTCCAGAAAGGTACATTGTGTATTTCATAATAATTTGGTATTTTTTTATGCTTGCAAATGTTGTAGGCCTATGTATATTCCCTTTAGCACCCTTTTTATAGCTCCATGAATTCACAAACTGAAAAGAATCTTCGAAATTTGCTCACAATCTTGTTCCGCTTTTTTGGGACAACACACTTGTTGAGCGACTGTTATCATATGGACCAATAAAAACAACACCACCACCAAAAAAACACTATGAGGACAGAAGGAAGTTCCCATAACTCGTTTTTAATTTCCCTATTATTATAGAAAACTTCCCCATATAACACGGTGCTGGCCAGGACATCTGCCCATGTGCGTACTCCAAACAATTTGTTGTTCTTTTTTTTTTCTTGGGGGAGGGTAATATCTTGTAAACAGATAACACAGAGTTATAAAAAAGTTTGAAGGCCTCATCGTACTTTGGCCAAATCAGGATCTTTCATTATTCTCTCAACTTTTACAGTTTACAATAATCAGTTGAAATTACAACCTTATTTGTCCAGTTTTTATATTTTCTTCAAATGTTGGTTGCTACATAATTTTGATCATTGGGCCCTTCATACAATGTATATCCGCCCCTTGGAAACGTTGCAAGTATCGTTTAATCGTGTTTGTTTTTTGAAAACATCAGGTGATGTTAAGGTTGCAGTGTCTGCATAGATTTTTGTAACTGTGCTATCAACTAAAGTAAACAGAAGTTCTAGATAGTGTGTATAAAAAAAGAATTAAGCCTACCATCCAGACACCAAGGACGTGGAGTATTTGCAGCTAGGCACCGAGGCCAACCAATTTTGAGGATTATCTTTTCTGCCGCCCTTTTTACTAACCGTAACAGAAGTCAACCCATCAAACCCCAACAGTATGATTTGTTGGAATCTGTATAAACTGACAGTCTTTTTACATTGGGTTGGCACACCTCCAGAAACTTAGTCAGGATGGGTAGGCCTATGGTTCCTAGTAAATCATGCTGGGGAGTTAGGGTTCATCTGTCCACAGGGATTGATGTCTATTTTGTCCAGACCATGATTGTACGACTAAATATGGAATTAAAAGACGCACATTTGGTTCTCGGTATTTTAGGGTGACGATGGCTACCGATTTGTTGGAATTTCCACAAATACCGGTATATCATTACCAAAATGTAGACAAATAGGGCCACATGCCTGTAGGAAAACAAAACATTATCCTGACATGTGTCAATCCCACTGCAGCCCGTATGCAGCTACTTATCTTCCCCTTCCCCCTAACAGATGCCTGGTGGAATGCACTCCCTGCAGCACCTATACATGTTCAGTTTTTATTAATTGAAATTAGGGGTGGGTGGGTGGGTCAAAATAATTTGGAAAAAAATTCGAAATTTTAAAACATTGAACATTTTGAATGGCCCCTGATATGCTGAAAACTACGAAGGATATTTTGAACGCAGTGGCTATCGTTACGGCAGCCGTAACGCATTTCCCATTTTCTATCGTTACGGTAGAAGAAAATATCAAATTAGAAGAAAAAAAGTGAATTGAAGATAGTGGATATTTTGCCGGAGGTAATGACGGCAAACTAACGATTACTAAAGGTTTGCCGGCGGCAATCCATATCAACAGAGGGTGCTGTACTCTTTAAAATAGGGCTGAATTATAAGATGTATAAAATTCCCACCAAAAGTTGTGTAGCACGTTTGGTGTAGTGGATGACTCGCATTCGAATCCGACCACACCACATTTTTAAGTTTTTTTTTCTCATCCCCAAATAAATAAAGAATATTCTTCCTTTATTATTTTAACCTGTCCCAAACATTTTTTGCAGAGTATTACATTTTCTTTTTCAGATTTGTGGCTCTGGAGGATTTTTTTTTAAAGGGAAATAAAGTCCGAAATTATAAAATGGTCTGAATCCCATCTTGTGAAGACGAGGTAACAACGATAATTTTGGCATGGAGCCAGACTAAAACTTGTCACCGGAAAATGTTAAAGTACAAAAAAACAGTAACTGCTGATGTTCAGTGGATATCCGGCAAACTAACGTTTACTAAAGGTTTGCCGTCTCCGGCAAAATATAAACTGCCTGAATTGAATGTTATGAAATTCGGATTTTATTTCCCTTTTAAAAAACAATCCTCCAAAGCCTCAGGTTAGAAAAGAAAAAAAAATTTGAGTGCAAAACTGAGATGCGAACCAGCAACCTCGCGGTGCAAAATCCTACCCTCTATCATCTGATCATGTCTATCGACTGAGCTGGCACACTGCTCGCTAAAACGTGGGGATAACAAATAATTATATACCTTCGTGCGTATCAAAAAAGTGGTATCGTAGAGGGTGCTAATGCCTAAGGTAGAGGGTGCTAATGCCTAAGCAACGGCTGCCGTAACGATAGCCGCTTTGTACATGTTGTATTTTGAAGACATGGCCTATGTCCGTGTTCATTACAACATGGAGCAATGATTACAACAATTATCTGATTATATTGCAAAAATCAGGCTTATTATTTAATTAAACTGCTTTTTTCCGGCATGTCCGGCATAAAAAACTTAAAATTTATTTCAACATAATTTTTTTTTTAATCAAACTGTCATACCTGTCTGTCATTGTCTGTGTGCGAGCATGGAGGAATGGTGCGATTGTCGTTCAGGTGCATTCAAGCGTAACAAAATCGATTCAAGTCCAACACCCAGTCCAAGCCCAGATCAAAATGACGCTGTTGTTAGAAAAAGTGAAACCACAGGCCAATACACTTATCGAGTGGGCCTGGGTCAAGGACGCTTATTCTATTAGCTGGGATAAAATTACACCAAAAGCATCCTCACAATACGCGGCGCTATACCATCTTTGCTCACAATCGAGAGCACGATGCATGCACACATGCGCGGTGTACGCGCCGCTGACCGGTGACTTTAAATGGCGCCCTCTCTTTAGTTTTACAAGCGCAAGCAAAAAATCGGCTTTTTAAAAAAAAATTAAGAATTTCTGCTTGTGAAACACAAAACCTGATCATTGAGCCAAATTTTAAAATAAAACTACATTCAGTATCGTTGTAAGGCTTTCCCTTGCTGTATGGGCTTATTAATTATTTTTCAGGTAGTGATGACGCCACAGCTAATCTAAACCCGCAGTTTAAACAAATGATTGAAAGCACCTGCACTGCACTAGACTTGGCCAAGTCTGGGTTGCGCTCGGTCTGTGCCTAGGGGTGCAGACCAGTAAATCGGTCCGAAATTGCCTGCGCCGGCCAAATCACGATTTGCATGCCCTCAAAATCTTTGGTATTTGAGCATGCTGTGGGCCATGAAGTTGAGGGTTTGTAAAAAATTTGGGTGGAAGCCGTGCACAGGACTGGGAGCTTGCAGTTCTGTGTAATTTTGATGTAATTTGGACCCTAAAAGCGCTTTATTTTGCAATGGAGTGTAGGCATCGTTTTTCAAAATGGCGATGGGCTTCAGGACTATAATTTCAGGGGTGATCATCTTCAGATGGAAATTTCTCCTAAAAGTCATCAGTTGACCCCCAGAAAATTGAAAAGAAAATGAAATGAAATAAGCTTTAATTTGATGTGTGTCTCGAACACCTTGGAGAGTTGTGAGTATTTTTCCCGAATTTTTGAAGTGGGAGCATTTACCATTGGGGTTTATGGAAGTTTATTTACTGGTCTGCTACCCTAGAGTAAATCCACTCGCAGCGCATATCGCATACGTCCTTACAGTACATACGCGCGCCCTCATGCGTCGAATCCGGACATTCACTGGAAATTAAAGATTGCGACCCCCTGAACATTTTTCTTTTCAATTTCTGTGGGGGCACAGTTACTGAGCTCGAGCGCACTTATTTTAAGGTTTATGTCGGCGTGCACCCTTAGAAAACGACTTTGACAGAAAATTTGACAGAATGGATTTTTGGGGCAGATTTCTGGCAGAATTCTGGACAGAGACAGCGCCACCTGGTGACGCTCAGGAGCAAGGTGGCGAGGCTTTTTCGCTGGAAATTAAAGATTGCGACCCCCTGAACATTTTTCTTTTCAATTTCATTAGTGGTAACCGGGTCATATTGTTTAGATATTCCCCTCCCAAAAACCACCCCTAAAAGGTTGTTAATCCCGGGACCCAGGTCTAAATGTAACCCCCCGCCTCTATGCGAGATAGGCCCACAAATGCGGCTTTTTTTCAAATAAAATCGCCCGAGTTGGAAGCCACAAGTCACAAATACTTGATTGACATAAATAGTTGTACAATCAATCCCAATTATAAGCCGCAAGGTCCTCTTATTCAAAAGAAACTGTTGGGGGGGGGGGGGGTATAGTTAATGAGCTCGCGCCCACTAATTTTAAGGGTTGATGGTGGCGTGCACGACTTTGACAGAAAACACGACTTTGACAGAAAATTTGACGGAATGGATTTTTTGGGCAGACTTCTGGCAGAATTCTGCACATTTGGTTATAAGGAAATCTTGTGTGACATTTGCATGTAATTAAAAGTTTTATAATGTTTTTGTGAAATTCTAGTGTTTAAGCAGATTTTTTGTCAATCTAGCAGAATTTTGAAATGCATCTAGCAGAATTTTCGAATTTCATATGGTCACCTTTGCCAAGGATATTGGCTTAGGATGACTGTATGTTTCATTGCATTTCACAGACATTGATATCCATATTACACAGACATCTCCATAAACACAGACTGGATAGGACATCACGTACGAACGAGCGTCCGCGCGCGCGTTTTTTGAAAAGGGTAAAGAACGCAATTTCGCATTCGAGTTGTGTACACTTTCGAACGGAGGATTAAAAAATGAAGTTGGGTTTTCTTCGGTTTCTTTGTCATTTTTGAAAGAATAAAAGAAACAGAGATCTAAATTGATCAAAATCGTCGAGAAGTATTGTCAAGGTGTTCTTAGCATTAGATTGCTGGAGCTGGGAAATAAGGAGCGTTGAAGAATAAGACAATTATTCGCAAGTAAGTTGTTTTTTTACGAGGCCTATACAACATGGCATGGATAAACATGGGAATGACCAAGCAAATTATAATACCGTTAATGTTGTTGCTCTAAGTTTGAGGGGTGTGCTGGTCGGCATCATTTTTTTAAAGACATAGCCCTAAACGTGCATGACTGACCCAGCAATGGCAATGAACAAATGTTGACTTGTTTAAAATAGTTTATTCGAATAACTTTTATATGCAAAATCTGATTGAATTATGTCTGCCTTGGCTTAACGCCTACCGAAATGTTTCTAGGCTATTCTTTCTTTTTTTATAAAGAGAAACCGAGGAGATGGTTTATGCTTACTGCACACGCAACCGACCGATTGACCTTCACATCAAACAAAGATCTTCAGCAAAGCCATAGCAAAAACCACCAGCTGCAGGACGATATCCGAGACGGACGAAAATGGAGAACTTCAAGGAGAGATGGAATCGACTTTATCATCCACTGAATGGAACATGCGATGTGATAGGCATCTGAGAGTTGGACTTAATCAATTCTTTATGTGGAACTGTTAACATTGATTGATTTTGTTCCTAAAAGAAGCTGTGGAGTTCAACGCAAGTATGAGCTCCCAAGATGACTGTCACATTATTGACAGGTTGTATGGTGAAGAAAGCAATGAGTACTATAACGGTTTGAAATTATATTGTGTACGCCGTTTTATAAGATTATACTAGCTTTAGCCATTAATACACTGTCATATTCGCTCACAAAACGATTCCCATTACAATATTTATTTTCAGAAGTATAGCTAAACATAAACAAGACCGTGCGAAGCTTGAATTATTCTTTGACAATAATAGTATTATTTTGGTTTGTGATTCATCTCCTCTCACAAAACATCACAAGAGGTGAACGATGTCATTCCCTGATCAATCTAGGGACGGGAAGAAGTTCTTACTGAATTCTTTGTAAAATTAAGGTGTTTTTTTTACTTTTTAGATTCTAATTGGTTTATGGTCGGGTTTTCAATAAATATATCAATCATTTGAATGAATCTCCATACAATTTCTCGTGTGAGTGTTCAGTTAAAAAATATTTGTAATTTCTGCATATTATTAATACAATCATTCATTTCATTGATGGAGTAATTCAGTGTGCTCTAATGACCAATGTGTCCAAAATGAAATGGAAACTTACTTACAATCAGTTTTGGGAGGAGGATAGGGGGATTAAAAAAAATAAGGGAAAAGGAAATGGGGGGTTCTTGAATTTCGAAAATGCATAATAAGAAAGTGTGGAAAAAGCTGTTTGAAGGGATTGATGGTAACTCTTCATTGTTCAGTTATTTTTTTTAAAGATTTGTTTTGGAGGAGCGCTTGAAATCCCTCCTGTAAGAAAAATTTCACTCGATAATCCAGTTTCAGTAAACAAAGTGAAAGCACAATGCGCGTTTACCCGTCTGACAGTAAACGCACCGCCATTGTTCGGCCGCGCATTCGTGCACAAACACTGCGCGATGTCCTATCCAGTCTGTGTATACAATGTACATGTATTATGGAGATCAATGACTGATCCCCGCCCCCAAAAATCTCACGGCGACCGTTAATTTGGAATAGCGCCCTCAATCTTTGTGAGCTATCACATGTGTAGGGTACCCTGACGTCAACATGCCTGTGAATACCATGAAAATCATACAAATCACGGATCCAGACTGTAACAGAAATTCCAGCGGGGAATGCCAAAAAAGTGATGGTTAACGTGCGAAGTTCAAGATTTTGAAAAATTGAGTGAGATGTCCCACCTGCAAGTAACTGACACTCAAGTTCGTAAGTACTTAATAAAGATAGGTGATGTTGCTTTATTTCATCATTTGTTTAATGACGTATAACATTCAAGATTGTCATGATCATGATGAGTGATGGCCGGTCATAATTATTACCGGTCTAGACCCGTGAACGTGGCTTGTAAACTACGCCACGTTCTTATGTCATTTCGAACCTGGCGAACGTGTCCCTCTGACTCCCTCCGTTACACACACTGGACGTTATTTTGCCCATGTAATAAGTACTCACATATGAAGCTGTCTTGAATTCTATTTGTACGTCAAAACTTGCATTTGACGAAAATTGAGGAAAATTCTGGCCCCGGTTCATGAAGTCCGTCCGCTACTGCTAGCTGCCATTTTCTCCCAACTGCACATGCGCATTGCGTTTTATTTTCGTATGATTCGACGGCTGTTTACTGTCGCAGCTAAAACAGACATCGTTTTAGACAAGTTTCAAGTCCTTTCCTCTACCGCACGCGGTCGCACGTGCGCCCGCGTGTGTGTGCACACACGTACTGTACACGAGATGAGCCGAGCAGCCAATCGTCTGCGGGTTTTTTTTTTTCGGGGTTGCGACATGAAACAGCCGTCAATCTGTCCAAGCGACTCAGACGCGTCCGGGGTTATTTGTCAGGGTCAGGTTAAAATCTGATTTCTACACGTTCGTATGGGTCTTTACCGATGGGCAAATTTCGTCGAAATTACACAGCCGAAACGATCGGACGGGCAAATTTAGATTTCTAGGTGAGTACTTAACACCCATACGGAATTATGTATGTCGGATCGATTTCGCCAGGTTCGAAATGAAACAAGAACGTGGCGTTGTATACAACGCCACGTTCACGGGTCTATTACCGGTCAACAATTTCGTGTCAACTGACATGACTGACATGGCCACTGATGGCCGGTCATTCCGTACGGGGGAGGGGGGGGGGGGGGAACGATCGCATAGTTACGGGCCCCTATATAATTTAGATTCAATCACATTAGGGGAAAAAATCCATACTGGATCACCACTTTACCTGCCGTCAGCTATGCATTTGAGAATAATAATGGCTGCCTAGAAAAAATGTTGGATTATTACTAGCCCGACTGCGTCTGGCCGTACAGTACTACTATCGCAAGCTCTGTAGTACGGCCAGACGCTGAATGCTTGCCAAAAGACTGAATTTTTTTGGCCGCTGATGTAGCGATTTTGCTACAGATTTCGATCGAGATTATCTTTCCATCCAGGACAAAAATTTCCAAAGTTAAGTTTCTTAGTCGTAGAGCAACTCATACCTTTTCGAAAAAACGTTCTTTGGTTTCAACATTTTCATCCATCTGGCCAAAAGACGACTTTCAGTCATCATCTTCCACAAATATCGTCCCGAAAATGCTCCCCATGCAATTTCAAAATGGCGGCTGCGCTGTAATGTATGCATTATGCGAGCGCGCTCGTACAAACTCATGAATGTGCATAAACAGTCTGTGACGTATGACCTCGTGTTTTTGGGCGGGCGTCCATCTTGTTAAGTTAATTATGCAAACATGGCAAATGAAATGCATCACGTGATGATTACCGAAAAAAAATTTGCAGAATGTATGTGGCCTGTGGGTACCACACTGCTTTCAAGCTCCGCTAGTGGGTTCAATTTTCGTCTGGTGCATTGTCTTGCTTTCCACGACTGCTTTTCACAACAACGCACCAGATGAAAATGAATTTTAATTAAATCATCCCTTTAATTTTTTACGTACCGGTAGATTTAATTTTTTTTCTTTGTAATCAGTGGCTTTGGAGGATTAAAATTTCATCTTTGGAGATGAAAGGGAAATAAAGTCGGAGAACCATTTGGTTCATTGTCTGGTTCCAAAAGCCAAAGATCCCGACGTTAAAGACTATTAGGTCAGGGAACCAGACGGTTCATATAGATTAACAATGGTATTTTTGCAATGCCGTAACGATAGGTGAAAATTAGTTTACAGCTGCCGTAACAATTGCCACTGCCTTGTTAAAACAGTAATCTTGTAGTTTAGGACACCTCTCATGCCTTACAAACTCTCTTCATAAATCAAAACCCTCTTTCCACAAAATTAAGCTAGCTGATATTCAACATTGTATCTTAACGAAGTATTTGGATAATTCCAAAGTGAACATGGAACCACATGAAGATTCGTCAAAATGGGTACATTAGATACATTGTACATTCATTGCTCATGAAAATTAAATGGTGCAAATCTCATAAATAAAATTTATATATATTATAGGGAATATACATCATTTGCTTTTGCTGTAATTTTCAGGAATGGATGGAATTGGGGGTTGGAAATATATAGCAAATATAGTTACACTGACTTTTTTGAGGTTTTGGGTTCGAAAATGCTATAAAACCAAGAAAAACAATCATTTTCCTGTAGTCTGGTTCCCTGACTCCATTTAAGAAGAAACAGAGCAGTTTACATACATTGGGGAATTGTAAGGTCAGGTAACCAGTCTACCGGTAGCTGGCTTGTACCCGTTCATAGGTGTGTAATCGATTGCAAACAAGTGCGATGGTCAACTGGGGCCAGTATTGGAAAAAAAAGCCAGTTTTTTCCAACGCTGGTCGGTCGATCAGCGTTGGAAATTGATACAAAAATACCACTTTTCTTGAAAATGACAGTATACCAGGTGCCATGATTTTACAGGGTGCTATACGCTGTCATTCACTAAGTAACAGTCCAGCAAGGTATTTCAAAATGATTTGGTAGTTTTATTTTTTGATGTTTGCAAATGTTGTATTTTCCCTTTAATCTTTTAGTCCCAATCCATTTTTAATGTTGTTTATGTTGTATGCTGCCCTCTACATGTACATGTATAGTGCTACCTTTTCAAGTTCACAAATTGTGCCTGTGCAATGTACAGATGATTGCATGTACATGTATACTGCATTATAGTGCAAAGTGCTATTGTGATTATACGGGTCTTGAAAGGTACATAAATGTGTTTGGTTTGCATCTAATTCCTTTCCATTTACGTTTTCTGTGTTATTTTATACCAGAAAGAATCTGGTTACACCTCATAAAGTTTCACGTTTTGTGAAATAAACAGTAATGTTCTTTTGCTTGTAGATTTACTCACAGGAAAGTGTCCTATAAAATAAACTGTCACGTCTACAATGTACATACGTGCGTACATATTTTGCAATCAAATTTCAAATTTGTAAAGAAATTATTATCAATCAATAAACCACACCTGAAATATTCATAGTAACGTAGAATCTTACGTGAAGTACAATTGATATAATAAAGGTATACAATATCAAAACCAAAGGCCATGTAAAAAAAAATAACCAGTTTCTTGTTCCTGTCCGCTTCCTTTTTCCTTCCTGTGTTTTCTTTTTTCCCCCTTTTTTTCCAGTTCATACATTTGCAATATACTTGATATTGTCAATATATTCTCATTTTTATTTGTTTCCAACAATATTGTAGCTACAAGATTGTAGCCTTTAAACATTTAAACCTGTAAATGTCACAGCCTTAAATAAGCAATCGGGTTGATATGTAATTACAGTAATCCAATAAATCTAGTCTGTTATTAGTCCAGATTGCAGTTTCACATGTGTGTTTTCAATACGTTCAGTGCACATATGTTTAGAAACTATAAAAGTTTATTCACACGTAACAGCAGTCACAAACCCATAATGGCAAGGTCGCAGTTTACGTCAGGAACTAGAAATACAAAAAAAAAGGCACAGACCATGCCATTGTGGTGCTTTTGACTGTCAAAACTAGTGGGTGTCGTCATAAAAAAAAAAAAAAATTCATTCATAACTTTGGGAGAAGTAACCGAGCTGTCACAGTGTCAGTATAATGACTCACCGTACGCAGAAAACAAATTGCCGATCACATTTTCAGCCACCGATACGCTCAGTAATATTACACACGCCATTTGCATGCATAACATAATCGTTTACACGATATTATTTCATCTTGACACGCTAAATCTTGACGAAAGGGCCTATAATTCTGACGCATTTGTGATGCACGTCGTCGAAGCCATGCCGCTGTACGATGTTCCGTGCGGCAGCAGTGCCATCAGTATTCGTTGGTTCCCATCGCATGCTTACAGAATCGAAGCTATGATGTGGGCCAGGAACCAGTGACTACGGCCTACGTACGGTACCGGACCATGATGTTCCGTGCATGACTACAGTAGCGTATCAGGACGAATTTGGATCGTAGAAAATAACATACATCGGTGGAGAAAGAGAATTTCCGCAAATTAATTCTCAGAATGTGATCTCTCTTCTCTGTGTATGTATTTGTCCGTTGAAACATATATTTTAACGAGATTTTACCGCTCGGACTTGATAATACACCGCAGCGTGTTTCTACAAAATGTTCGGCCACTGCACGTGCAGGTTCGTGCGGTCTCTGTATGCATAACAGGGCGCTCGGGCCGGATGTACGCTTTCCTGAGCCGCTTTTACCGACTCGCACTGTCCGCACTGGACTAATCGTCTCGGGAAAAGCGACTCGGTCAGTTTTCCTGGGCGCGTGGGAAGTTTTCCTGGGCAGCAGTTGGCCAGTAAAAGTAACCGCTGGACTCAGGAAAAGTAACTGAGAGGAAAACGTCCTAGGCTGTCCGCACTGGACTTAAAATGGGAAAAGTACCCATAGTCTCGGTTAGTTTGACCAAAAAAAAGTCCAGTGCGGACAGGGCTAATGAAAAACAAAAATGTTCAAGTACTCTGGTTCCCTGACTCAATTAAAGTTGAAATGGATCAAGTTATAGATGCCGAAAAATTGTGAGGTAAGGGAACCAGTCTAGCTGGCCTGCACCTGTTCATGAATATGTAACCAATAGCGAACACAATTTGGACTGAAACAAATGGTAAATTTGGAGCAGTTTCTTGAAAATGACTTCACACCAGGTGCCATAATTTTACAGGATGCTTAATTAGAGTGTCATTTACCAACATCCTAGTTAGGTATTTCGTAAAAACTTGGTAGTTTTATTTTTCGATGTTTGCAAATGTT